TTGGAATTTCAGGAAATGAAAGAGTAGATAGAATCGCTAAGGCCACAAACAGATTCTCAAATAGAATTGTCCTTGCCCCCCCTCCCTCTGATTTGAAATGGGGAATCCTGGACCCAGACTCTAAGTTCTGGCTGGCCAGACTCTGGCCTTACGTGGAGAAACGTAATCAGCAACGAAGATATTTCTCTCAAATTAGATACGACACTCCAAGACTTTGGTTTGCTCAAATCTCCTTGCCCAGAAGACATATCAATCTTATCACCAGGCTTAGAACTGGACATATATGCACGGCGGATCACCTCTCAAGATTTCATCTTGACGATGCTTTGAGATGTTCTTGTGGTTCGGACTGGAGGTCCCTTGAACATTCGATCTTTGAATGCCCGCTGTTGGCTATGTCTAGACGGGGATTCTTTGACTTCCTTAAACGTAGGAGACCTAGCATTGAGCTGTCTGAGATCTCTTTGGACGAGTTCATTTTCGCTCCGGATTTGGAGACTGTTGGAGAGTTTGGTAGGCACCTCTGTTCCTCGGAGTTGGTAATCTAGCGCAGCTCTGAGCTCATGTCATTCTTAGGCCCATTCATGTGGATGTTCTTGCCGATAGAACCATCCACTATGAAGATCCTTCTCAGGCAGGACCTAAGTAATGGCATCAGTTCTGACTCTGTGATTGCTGCCTCCTTGTGGAGCTTCTCGTGCTCTCTTGCAGTCTCGGACTGTGATCAGTTCTAATCAGCTTTGTTTGGACTATAATGATATGATTTCCTTGGCAACTTTATGGCTCCTCGCAGAATTTTCAATTTGCTCTGGGTTGCATTGTCCGCCCTATACAGTGGATACTTATCGGGTTGTCTTAAAAAAAAAAAAAAGAGTAAATCTTTCTTTATTGGAATCGAGCGCGGTCCCAACATGTACCCTTGTCCCCCAATCCTTCGAGCAATACCTTTCAACATGAAGAAATTATAGGATCACAATTGTGTTCCCTCCCTAACGTGACACGTGGGAATTTATATGCCTATCAACAACTTCCCAAGAAGCACGTAACCTCAATATCAAGGTAATATTACATGTAAGATTTGTAATATAACGTTGTAATATTACAGTAATCTTACAGTGATCTTAAAATGTCCGCCTCAAGGTAATATTACCGGTAATGTTACTGTAATATTACGCGCTAATATTAAGGTAATATTACAGTAATATTGCAGTAATATTATACCTTACTATTAAGGTAATATTACAAGAGAATATTACAGTAATATTATGGGAACATTTCTTTACGAAAAAAATCTACCCATCCAGGGAATCGAACCCCGAACTCAAAGCACACGAGTCCAGAGTTTTACCAACAAGCCAAATTGACTTATAATATATTTACGTTTTTTATGCTTTATGAATAACTCAAATCAGTCTGTAATATTACTGTAATATTACCGTTAATATTACTGTAATATTACCGTTAATATTACAGTAATATTCCTGGTAATATTACCTTGAGGCGGACATTTTAAGATCACTGTAAGATTACTGTAATATTACAGCGTTATATTACGAATCTCACGTGTAATATTACTTTGATATTGAGGATATATTACGTGCTTCTTGGGTTGAACGTTCCGCTTGAGCCTTTGTGACGGTTCACTGTGTCTACACCTTATCTCTGCTTCTTTTCTGATTATTTATTGTTCTGACAGTTGGCTGTGCCTCAAGTCATTAAGAAGAAGAAGAAGAAGAAGAAGAGTCCAGAATACGGGTTTCTGATCGTCGACGCGTTGATAGCAACGCGTCTGTCTTATGGGACATCAATGGGAGAGACAAAGACAGAATGATACGTCGACGTTCAGAAACCACTTATTCTGGACTCTCCCTAAAAGTCTTCTTTGCGCATGTCTCACTATAGTATGAAGTATCTATGAGACTATGCACTGAACTGCACTTCACTCCTTTACATACCATATTCTGCACTGTACACAGTACTATATATATTCGTACATCATACTTCTTTATTCTATATATATATTCTATTCATACTAATATACATACACCATACTATCATATTTATATTATCATTATAATACAAGAATTAAATGTAGAATAATTTGTATTCAGTATAAATTATATTTGAGTATCGTAATAACAACTATAAAAAATCTATAATAATTAATTATTGATTATGATTAATTATTATTATTATATAAAAGCTATACATATAAATTTCTACACGTATACAAGTATACATACGCATACATTATTACATATTGTTTAATACTATATATTGGTAGATGATGATTGTATTTTAATATTGTTTATGTGAATTTAGAATGCAACGTAAAAAGTATTTCATAGTGGATATTTTATCTATTGTTTGACCAGTACGTGACTTTTCTCGATTTAGCGAGTTATGTCTGTATCTGCGGTCAACATGTGTTTAGTGTCCCATGGAGAAAGGTTTTATAACTTTTTTAAGTGGTATATTTTTCATGGTCTTTTAAGGGTTTTATATTTCAGAGTGAAGGAAAGTTTTAGAATGATATTTTCTTTTCTATTTTACTTTATTTACGACAATTCTGAGAACTGTTTATATTATTGAGATACTCAAACGAGAATTTGAGAAGTATTAAAGCGTGAAGGAATTATTTTCAATTCGTCATGCTTTTTATAAACATCTTTATATTTTCCTTTAAAAGAAATAAAATAATAAAAGTTTATGTTAACTTAATTGTTTAACAATTTAATATTTAAATTTAGCGCGATGATATCTCGTTAGTTCGAGATATCGAAAAGTAATTCGAGCGAGAATATTAGGCTGTGTCAGTTCATCGAGATATTTCGAGTTCAAGATATGACGTCAGAGGCCTGGAGGGACAACAAACAGACGACACAATGTTATTGGGATCAGAAATCACGCGAAACTGACCCACCCCTAAGCCTTCTTGTGACAACCATCTTGGTTTTTTATCTCTTTCTTTTGTATATGTTAGAGAAACACGGAATGAAAACATGGCCACCACAACAAGGCTCTCACCAGATGGCGTATCGCAGTATTTCAGATCCCAATTCTTATGGGGAAGAAAATTAGTTTCCACTTTCATCAATTTTATTCATACTTTAAACAAGGAAAACGCTTGTTGGCATATAATAAAATTAAAATGTGTGTTGATAATTAATTTTGTTATATATTTGATTCAATTGCATTGATAGATTCTCTCAATTCGTGATAATATATAAATTTTGAGGTTAGGAGTGTTTGTTTACTAATCACATTTTACATTTTAACATCATTATTAAACAATATCCAGTATGCATGTTATTAAAAAGATATAAAATATATATTTTAAGTGGGAATTACCGCAGCAGTAAAAGATTTCAAGTTAGTAAACAAACACCCCTAACCTCAAAATTTATATTTTATCACGAATTCAGAGAATCTATAAATGCAATTGAATCAAATATATAACAAAATTAATTATCAACACACATTTTAATTTTATTATATGTCAACAAGCGTTTTCCATGTTTAAAGTATGAATAAAATTGATGAAACGTCACACCTAGAATCGACTCTTACGTCACAAGTGACAGAGCCTAAGGGTACGGTCACACGACTTTTGGAAAAACCATTCTTATCTTTCTCTCTCCTATTACAGACGCATAAGTTTGTCTCACTCTGCATTTTCCGTCTTTGGGAAATGTAAGAAAATGCAGAGTGAGACAATCTTATGCCTCTGTCTTAGGAGAGAGAAAGACATGAATGGTTTTTCCAAAACTCGTGTGACCGTACCTTAATAGTCGCTCGTTACAACTCTGTAACGAGCGACTATATTCTCGCTCGAATAACTTTTCGATATCTCGAATTAACGATATTTACGCGCTAAATAATAAATATTCAAACTATTAAATAATTAATATTTTGTATTCTAGAATTTATACTCACATAAATTTAGCAATTGAGGAAACTATAAAAAGTTAAAGTAATTGTAAAATAATATCGTCACGCTTTAAGTATTTTCAAATCAAATAATATAAAAAGTTCTAAGAAAAGTCATAAATTAAGTAAAATAGCAAAAGGAAATATGATTCTAACTTTCTTTTAAACCCAACTATGAAATAAAAACCCTTAAAGATCATAAAAAATCAACTTGAAAAAGTTGTGGTCCTTTCTCTACAGGACACCAAACACATGTTGACCAGACACACATGTAGACTCGCTAAATCGAGAAAAGTCACGTATTGATCAAACAAAGGATAAAATATTTGTAAAGAAATATTTTATATCAACTAGATTTTTACATTAAAAATATAAATTAAAAATCATCATCTTCTCTATAAACATTATTAAATATATAATCGTAGTGTGTGTGTGTGTGTGTGTTATTTACACAATAACAAGATAATAATTAATTATTACATTAATACGTATGAGTATGTTATATTGTTAATTATAATATTTATAATATAATAAATATTATGTATAAGATATACCTTGAAATATATAATTAGTAAAGTGTATAGTAAATAAGATACGTAGTGTTGTGCAGTGCAGTGTTGCTGGAAACAGCATAGAATAAGAAAATAAAAAGAGCATGCGCAAAGAAGCCACATGAACTCACAGCTGAGCGCTTCTCCACTACTTGTACTTTATGCTTTACGTCAGATCTTATCTTGCCTTCGACTTGTCGAGTTCGCTCCAAGTCAACTTTGTATTTGTCTCTTTTATATATTTAATAAAAGCTTGGGTTTTAATCTAGAAGTCGGAACAATTAATAATTGGTTAATTCGTTATCTAATTATTATTGTTCGTCTTCAAGAGGATTTTCCCTCCGTTTTAACGGAAATTAATTGTGTAATTATTTAAACTTTCCCGGTTCATTTTAATGATTAACACTAAGGCTGAATCCACAAAATAACCAAGTGAAATTGCGCTTGCGCAATTAAATATACAACTTGGCTCGTAACAACTCATGATCAGTAGCGCTGTAGAAAACTAGTGAAACTTTTGAGTGTTAACAAATCGACATAATTTTTGTAGGAGAGTTGCGACACTTGTATATATATATTTTTTGTGTTTTTATCCACCTTCCCGCGTGAATGCTTTATTTGTTTTTCGAGTATTATTTTTGTTTATAATTTAGAAAATTTTAAGAATGTCTGGAAAAAATAATATTGAAGAACCGATGGAAGTTGACATCACTCCATCAACCAGCAAGATTATTAAAGAAACTTCCGTTTTAACAGAAAAATCATCAAGCACTCCATGGTAGGTTATATTGTATAATATGTCATAGCTATATAATATATTTTTAATAAAAATAATATTTATTTTTTGAATTAAACAATAACAGTTAAATTTTTTTTTATAAATTTGAAATTCTATATAAGAATTTTATGTCTATGTCAAATTAAACATTCAACTTAAAATTAGATGTTTCTTTTAAAAACGTACAATGTTGACTTTATGTTTTATTAAAAATATTTTTAAATCTACTTTATTTAATGAAATATTCTTTATTTTACAAATGATTCACTAAATAAATTTCGATTAATTTTATTATTTTTATTTCAAAAAAAATTTCTCATACATGATTGGTACAAAATAAAAAAATAAATTTTTTTTATTTATCCAATTAATGTAACAGTGGTATGTTTTTTGTAATATTCTGTTGGATAATCTTGTAAAATAAAGATTTTAGAGTAATTCACATAGAATCAGAGAGATTACATATAAACAAAATATCAAATTTTCGTCAATAACTTAACTTTTTCTCTTTTTTTTTAAATATCTGCACTGAAAAAAATTATTTAATTCAAATAATCAGTTACTTGACTATTATCAAATAAATATTTACTTGAATTAAATAAACTGTATTGGAACCAATAATTTCTGTATTTGAAATAAATACTATTTAATTGACTCAAATAACTTTTTTTCATATCCTACTAGGTTCGTTATTTAACGTCATAAATTTATTTTCTAATCAATCAGATTTCAGATGTTATAACACTGATGAAATTAATCTAAAAATTCTAAACTTTTTTTAATGATAAATATTAATTATTAAAAAATTCAAATAAATTGAACATTCATCAGGATTGAAAAATATCGGCCACAAGTTTTTTCTGATATTGTTGGGAACGACGATACTGTCTCGAGATTAGCTGTTTTTGCTCAACATGGAAATGCTCCAAACATTATAATTGCTGGCCCACCAGGTGTGGGAAAAACTACAACCATTCTTTGTTTAGCACGTATTTTATTGGGTCCCGCTTTTAAAGAAGCTGTTCTTGAACTAAATGCTTCTAATGACAGAGGCATTGATGTCGTCAGAAATAAAATAAAAATGTTCGCACAAAAAAAAGTTGGTAATTTTATATAAAAAGATCTATTGATACTCATTGCTTTTTTTTAGAAATGTTCAATTTAAATTTATTAATTGTTGTAAATAAGCTTTAAATAACAGCGGACAATTTACAAAATTGGAAAATTTTACTGTTTTTATTTCAATGAATTTTCTTTCATTTATCAACAGAATAAACTAACTTTTAACATTTTAGAAATTAGTCCATTAGAGATATTAGAAGTTATACGTCGTTTAAAATTTCTTTCACAAAAACTGGAGTTTATTTTGAGAACAAAAAAAAAGATTTTGACAAAGTAACTTATTATCAATGACTTCATTAAGTATATCATCGAAAGTTTTTCTCCATATTTTAATTAATCGATTCACATTCATTAAAGGTGAATCTTGCTAAAGGAAAGCATAAAATAATTATTCTTGATGAAGCTGACAGTATGACTGATGGAGCTCAACAAGCTTTACGCAGAACAATGGAAATTTTTTCACACACTACGAGATTTGCATTGGCTTGCAACAATAGTGAAAAAATTATTGAACCCATTCAATCACGATGTGCTATGCTAAGATATGGAAAATTAACAGATGCGCAAGTTTTAGCAAAAGTTATCGAAGTTTGCAATAAGGAGGAAGTGAGTTAACTTTTTAATACTATTTTATATAATTTTAAGATTCCTTTTCCATTAGAAAATTTATCTGAATTCATTTGTTTATTTGAGAATTTAATGTGCGTCAAAACAAAATTTAAAAACACTTTTGTTTTACTTCTGATCAGAATATCAGAATTAAAAGTCAACTTCGTTTAGAATATCTCATCTTTGAGAAAGTACAATTAATAATATTATTTTAACTATATAAACGTTAATTAATTATTTTTTTAGAGGTCTGCATTTCCGTGGATAAACGTCATTAAATTAACAAGCCTTTTGAAAACTTGACTTTTTATTAACAATTTTTCTGTAGGATAAAAAGATTTTAAAAGATAAATACATAGGTCTGAATAAAGCGCCAGTAAAATATTCTCGAATAAGTCAAAAATGTATATTCAATATTTAATTTTTAATATTTATTGTAAAATATGAATTAAAAGTATTTGAGATGCTGAAAACTGAAGTTAATAAAGAAAAGATTTTAAAAAACATAAAATTTACTACAAAAATGTAAAAAAAAATATTCAAATTTATTACTATAAATTGATAAAAATATTTAAAGACGTGAAATAATATTTAAAAAATGATTTTTAATTTCAGCTGTCAAGTAACCTAATTTTGGAATTTTTATCTATAAATTAGGAGAAAGTAGAATGATGTCTTAATTAAATGAAAATTTACGAAACATAAAGTACATGCAATGAATTTTTAGATTTTCTTTGCACTGTTTTCTCTTTTTTCTTGAGAAAAATATAAAAATGTGGAAAAAAAATTTACTCTTTGTTCATTTTTGGTCTTTTTAAACGTTTAAACTTTCTTTCAGAAAAACACGAAAAAATATGAGACTTTGTGAATATTTAAATATTTACTAAATACACGCATACCTAGAGAAGGGTAGATTATGCGATCGCATAATTACATAATTTTCTAAAATCAAGTAAAACCATAATACTATTGTGTTAGTTTGTATTTTGGACCTTTTGCAATACGTTTTTAAAGCGCATAACATTGCATAATTTATATGTCAGCATAATTTTACTTTTTTTCCATAATGACCGCATAATTGGCTCAAAATTGCCAAAATAGTGCTTTTTTTAAATAAACCGAGAAAAAATTTTTTTGTTAGTCTCTTTATTAAATTAAAAATTTTTTTTAGATTAATCATAAATGAATACTCATTTCGTACCAATTTATTTTATTTTTCTGAAAAATATATCCTCTTTTTATTTCTTATTAACTCATTTGTTCAAGTCATTAGTTTTGGCATGTTAACATGATTTTTAAAATTCGATATGAAAAAAATAGCGATTAAAAATACATATATATATTTTAAACGCTGCATAATTTTGTAAAATTAAATTTTTTTTAATTGCATAATTTTGCATAATTAGGCTAATTTTACACGGAGAGAAATAGATGGTACGGGGTACTATCTAGATAGTACCAGGGTACCATATTTGATCTTACATATACGGACAGCTATCTAGATTCTATCAGTAACAATGCAGATTGTACGGAGTAACATTTTGATTTTAGTGGGTAACATAACCATACTTTTTGTAACATCCTTGATAGTACCGAATAGCATAATGATGGTACCGGATAACATCTACTTTTTACCATCTTAAGATCATAAGTTCTTACAATCTATTTCTCTCCGTGTAGCGCATAATGCCGCATAATCGTAAATATTTTAATCGCATAATCCCGCATAATCGTGCATATTTTAAGCGCATAATTAGAAGGTCTCTAAATACATAATCTACTTTTCTCTACGCATACCAAAAGTTTCACGTTGGTCCAGAGTCGACGTTAGGAGACTTAAATGTTTAAAAATTTCACATTTTTGAAAGGTTAATGAAAGTAATTTTTACAGTTGAAATTGATTCAATATTATTCATTATAAACGAACTTCAACTGTAAAAAATTACTTGTATAATTAACCTTTATAAAAGTAAAAATTTTAAATATTTATATGTTTCCTGACGTAAATTCGAGACTAACACAAAATTTTTGGTAGGCACATATTTAATGAATATTTAAATTATCTATAATATTTCTATAATTTCAAAGTATCTTTTCACGAGAGAATTGTTTTTTTATCATTAGTAAATTATTATAATTATTTCTCTTATATGAAATAATTTCTATTTTCTTAAAGTTACTACGACTTTAAAGATAACATTCTCATCACGGTACTCAAATTTTAGCGAAAGTCAAATTTCGACTAAAACTAATACCTTCTCATGTGATGAAAATGTAAAAATTTCATACAATTCTTTTAATTTCACAATCTTGGATACCTACGAAATAATTTCTGAAAAGTTATTATAACTTTTTAAAATTAGATTAGATTAATCCTTATTTATTTTTATTTAATTAATAATAATTTAAAGAAATATAATAAAACTGAAATAAAATTTATTTAAATTTTTTTTAAGATTTTAAATGCTTTTTAATATATTTAAAAAATTATTTATCATAACCATTTATCAAAATAAAAATATTTTTTACAACTTAAAACGCAAAAAATGTCTAAATTTACCGATTACAACTTTAAAGTGTCATAAAAGTAAAAATTTGAAGAGTCATATTTAATAAGTGTATTTCAAACAAGTAACACTTTTAGAGATGTTACATTCAAAAAATTTACTTTCTAGTGTGAAGTAAGATTTCATTTTTATCAGTGAAAGGTTAAAAACATAGAAATTAGAATGTTTTGATTACCTATATAATTTACGTATTAAATTCAAATAAATTAACAATGCATCAAAACATTTACTTGCACTTCAGTGTATGTATATTTTGCTATTATAATATTTAATTTTAATTTAGGCCATAAATAAGTTATTAATGCAAATGTTGAATACAATTTTTTTAAAGATTTCACACACCCATGATGGTTTGGAAGCCATTATTTTTACTGCACAAGGTGATATGAGACAAGCTCTCAATAATTTACAGTCGACTTTTAATGGCTTTGGTCATGTCAACAGTGAAAATGTTTTCAAAGTATGCGATGAACCGCATCCGTTGTTGGTCAAAGAAATGCTTGAACTCTGTACAAAAGGAAATATCTCCAGTGCATATAGTGTTAGTTTTTACTTCATTAATTTTTTTATTCATAATTGAATCAAATTTTATTAAATTAATTTTATATTAAACGTTGATTTCATTTGAAATATTTTGAAAATTAAAGGGAATGAATCACTTATGGAAAATGGGCTATTCGTCAGAAGATCTCATAACGAATATATTCAGAGTTGCTAAAAATCTCGATATTGATGAACCTTTGAAACTAGATTTTATAAAGGTAAGAAACTATTTTTTAAAGATATGGAAAATTTATGACTATTACATAATATTAATATATCAATGAATTCAACTTTTTTTTCAGGAAATTGGCGAAACGCATTTAGGAATTGTTGATGGAATAAGTAGTCTTCTACAAATGAATAGTCTTTTAGGTCGTCTGTGTCGTAGATCATTAAAAACGTAAACTTTAATGAATATTTATTTATATTTTTATAATTACATTATTTTTAAATTAAAAATGAATCAATAATAGAAATTACTTGACGTTTTTATAATAAAAATTTCATTTTTACAAAAATATTACTGTTTTAATAGAATTTCATTTTTAAAATGAGACATTTCTACCCTGAAGCCAAAAATCAGATTTAATTTTTAATATTTTTAAAATCCTACTATATTAAAGACAACAAAGTGTTAAAATATACCAAAAAAAATTTTAAATATATTACTATTGTTGTAAATTTAATTCTTAAATTAGAAATCAATATTTATTTAAATCAATTTATTTAAAAGCCTAACACAAAGTAATATACACAATACAATAAATAGATAGATTTTTATTAATAAAATATACTTTTTTTGTTTTAAGCTGTTTATTATATTTTGTACATTCGTTTAAGTTGCTTTTTAAGCACTTTAGCGCCATAAGTGTGATTGTAGATACTGCTACTGAATCTACAATGACGTAAATCACACTTATAGTGACATGAGCTAAAATAATTATTAAATATTAAAAATATCAATTACGAGCATTGAAAAAAATAGTAAAACTCTACCGACTTAACGACGTATTTTACAACTTTCTCTTATTTAAAAAGATATACCTTGAAGAAATTTTAGAGAATGTTTTAAATTTACACTTTTTCAAAATATTATTTAATTTTGACCAGACATCAATTTCTTATACTAATTCTAAGAATTTCTTTATGTTCCATTTAAATTTATGTGTTTCTAATTTAAAGCCAAGGATTAATAATTGTGAACTTAATAAACATGGATCATTCGGTGCTATGTAACGTCACATTCATTTATAGTCCATTTATACTACAGGTTGATTATTATATCATGTTTGATTTTTTAATATTTTATTCGTTGCTTTATTTCTTACACATACTTAAAGACTCTTCCCTATTTGGGATATTTATTTTTACTAATACAATTTGCATTCATAATTTTAAAAAAAATTTGTTAATAAATATGTGTCAAATTTTTACAAAATTAAAAATAATTTAAAAATTTTGAAATATTCAAACATTTATCACTGAACATTATAAAAATAATTATACATTCTTTTAAGATCTCTTATTCTATGTACTTGAATTGACATTTTTAAATGTTTTTAAACATTACAAAATTTTTTATCATCATTATTATTCACTTAATGTCTATAGTTATACAATATGTGTGTAGACACATTACGAGATCATTTTTAAATTTCTTTGTCAAGCATTGCAAAAGTCATATAATACTGTGTTATTTTTTTAATTTTTATAGTTGGGGCATTTGACATAAAAACGAGGTAGGGTCAGTTGAGGTAAATGGGGACAAGAGGTTTTGGAGCTTAATTTACAATTTTAAAATTAAGTTCAACGTTAATATTTTAACCTCAGATCACCTGCAAGAGGTGTTGAGTATTGCCAAGCTTTTATCTTGACAATTGGCAGCAAGATAAAAAAAGTTATCGCTCAATGCATAAAAACTTGAAAATCAAAGTCAAACTGTTTCAGTATTTTGTCTCGCATTTCAAAGAAAACATACTTAAAAATCATACCAAATTTTTTTCTTATTCCTTATGACTCCTATAACAGAAATTCACTTGAATTTTTTATTCTTGTCAATTTGGTTAATAATGGCAAGCTGTCCCCATTTAACCTGAGTTTTCGAATTTTTGGGGTAAATGGGGGCAGCTTGTCATTATTAACTAAATTAACAAAAATCAAAAATTCAAGTGAATTTCTGTTATGGGAGTCATAAGGAATAATTAAAAAATTTTGTATGATTTTTAAGTCTGTTTTTTTTAAATGCGAGACAAAATACTGAAATAAAAAAAATAAAAAAAAATAAAAAAATTTCAATTGGTTAAACTATTATATATCTACTACAAATTTTTTTCAAGTTTTTTTTATCCCTTAATACAGTAATATACTTAAGGAAACTTTTTTCTTAAAAGTTTATTAGCAACTATGCTGTCCCCATTTACCCCGAATTTTATGAAATTTTCTAAATTTTGGGGTAAATGGGCACAGTCAGTTTCATGCGTTTAAAGCTTATCTAAATTTTTTTCTGCTGCATAAAATTAATTCTGGGAACGTAAATAACAACTTAAAAAAATAAACCCGCAAATATTACCTTTTAAAGGAAGAAACTTACGTAATTTGTGAAAAATAGCGATTTTGTCCCCATTTACCCCAACTGACCCTATATATTTTCTAGTATTTTTCTCAAATTTAGATAATTCTTAAGTAATTCACAAATACCTAAAATATTAGCTTATTTTAAAAAAAATATACAAAAAGTATTAGTGGTTGAAATTTTGACATTTTAATTAACACTATTACTTTTAAATCCGTTTAACTTTTTAATGATAATAAAAAAGAATTAAATAAGGACAATGAAGTAAAAAATAAGAGTTAACTTTGAAAAAACTTTTTTTGTCATTGAAAACTACATGATAAATGCTTCAGAAAACCCTGCAAATTAAAATCCATAAAGTTTTCACATAGTTATACGGATTTGAATGTAACAGTATTACTTAAAGTATCAAAATTTCAACGCCACTACTTTCAATAATTTTTTTAAGAAGAATTTTTACTCTCATATAGAACAAACAATTTAACAAAATATTAAGCCAATCCAATAAGTTTAAATTTGGGACACTTGTTGAAGCAAAAAAATCGATTTTTTGAAAAGTTTAGTGCGGAATTACTTCTTAAAAATTATAAATTATATCTCTAAAAAATTATATTTACAATTTGGTACACTTAGAATATTACTGTCTGCGCTTGGGTTGAACTCCTCAATTATTAAAATTTGAGAGAAATTACAGATATGGCCCCTATGTATGAAATTACATATAAATATTTATCTGTATATTCTTTAACATAAATTTTTTAACACAATTTTTTTTATGTAATATAAAATAGTATTACATGAAAAATATTGATTTTTCCATATTTTTTACACAGGGTTCAATTTACCATATTTCACCCAAAATCGTTGAAGCTTATTTTTAGAAAAATCTTATAATTCATGAGAATGATTTTTTATATCAGCACATTTCATTATTGGTAATTTTTTAAAAATTATTTTGGAATTTGATTTTTTTTTGAGTTGCAAGGTAAAAAAGTTATTTAAACCGAAATAATTTTGCATTTGAGTGCAAAATTATAAATTAACCAATCATACTTTAGTTGATAACTTCTGATTGGTTATTTTTGCACCTAAATTTTTTTGCCATAAATTTATTCGGACAAATGAAAGTTCTGTAAAATAAAAATTCAGAATATTAAGAATTCTGTAAAATGTAGATGAATTCCAGTAAATGAAAATTCAGTTAGAATGAGAATGATTTCAAATATTCTGTTTGTAAAATAAAAAATATTGTTTATTTTATAGATAAAATATTTAAAAACATTCTTTTCTAGGCAAATTTTAATTTCCTGAATTATTATTTAATAGAAATTTCATTTAACCGAATTTTTATATTATAGAATTGTTACTTAAGCGAATTTTCTTTATACAGATTTTTTATTTCATCGAATTTGAATTTGACAGAATTATTATTTGTTCGAATTTTTATTGAACAAAATACATGCCTCGGATTATACTTTTTTTGACTTATTTAAATAAGATGAGACTTTTTCCACTTTTTTTTACATTTTTTAAACAATTTTTTTAAAGAAAATACGACTTTTTAGTATACAATGCAAATCTTTATTTTAATTATTTATCAAATTTTTAACTAAAATTTTTCTCTAAAATAATTATTTTTAATAATTTTAATGAAATTTTTCACAAATGCAATTAAATTATTTTTCAAATACAAATTTTATGAAATTTAACAATTGTTTATAATATAAAAAAATCGAATAAAATTACCAAAAATTACAATTTAAAACCTTTATAAATTTAATTATTTTTAAAATTTTCAATCCAAAATTTTTTGTAATTTAATAATTTCAATTATAAATCTTCTGAAATTCAATTATATTTAATCATTTTTATAATATTCTTCGAAAATTCAATTATCTGAAAGCATTTTTGAATTAAAAAATTTTTAAGTTCAATTTTTGTCTTTAATTTTTAATAAATTCTTCAGCAACAGATTTTTTTTTTAGAAATTTGTCCTACTTAATTAAAATTTTTTAAATTTACGTCTTTGATTTTGAAATATTGGAAATAAATTTTCTTGATAATATTTCTATAGAATTATTCTTATTAAGGAATTAATAAAATAGAATTAATATCTAATAACATTAATTGTTTAAAGTAAAATATTTATTAACTAAATTTAGTTAAAATAAAAAAATTGACTTTTTCAACCTTTTCCAAGACCGGAAAATAGTAATTTAAAATAGTAATTCTTTTAAATTAGTATTCGATTAAATGTAATTTCTATTAAATACTACTTCGGAGAAATGAAAATTTGGATAATAGTAAATGCGAGATAATGAAATTCTGTCAATTGAAAATTTTAACAAATTAATTTTAGAGCTTATTCATGCGTCTCAAAAAATCATTATTAGAAATTATCAGATTTATCTAAAAGTAGACTGCAACGACTTTTGTGTGAAATATAATGAACTGACACACAAATAACTAGTGTAAGTAAATGATATAAAGTTAACTTGTCATTAACAAGTTGTTTTATCTTGAGTATTATCAATAAAATTTTTTAACATTCGTCAGCACCATTTTTCTACTGTCATGGAAGAAAGTTGAGCTCTAGGTTTAGGTGACGGCCATCTCAAAGCGCTTTGACAAGATTCTGCTCTAGATGGTGTTCTTGGAGGTGGTTGAGGCGGCGCACTTAAATTCAAATTACATTCCGCTTGAATTAGTTCTCCATTAATGTCAGATCGTGATCCTCTATCAATCGTTGGTGGATCACCACGATAATTTCTTTTCGTCGGCTTTCTAAGAATTTCTTGAACACCACCACCCGATGATGGTGGTGCACTTTCAACTGACTGAAGACTCGCTGCTCTGTGCAATGACAATCTTAAAGGTTTCTTTGGTGGAGCTGGCCGTGTTTTAGTTGATTCACGAGGAAAGACATTAGGCACTTCAAAATTGTCTAAAGTACGCAATTGAGAATCCTGAAAAAAGATTTCGTTATTTCATATCATGCGCAAAGACTTTGATGCGTTAAACACAATAAAAATAATACCTGTAAACGATAATATGTTGGTTCCGAGTCGAAATCAAGAGATTGCATCTGATGGCTAGTTTTACGAGTTTTTTGCAGATGCTCCATTGCAGAATCAATTCGTGTTCTTCTACGTGGCGAATGACGTCGCAGTTGAGATTGTTTAAAAACTAAACTTGCTGTTGATCTAGTCAGTTGTGTTGCTGGTGATTTTTGTTTATTTCTTGATTTTTGATGGCCACCATTCGTCGCTCCGTCTGAGGAAAAATCTAATTCTTTTGAATTTCGTGATTCCGTTAGGCGTTTAAAATTCTCACTTTGTCTGCTTTTTACTGTAGGAAGACTTTGACGACTTTCTGTAGGACTTCGCATATTTAAACCGGGAAGATTTGCAACTAAAGCAGTGACTTGAGGACCTTTTTGAAATACCTATTTTGTTTGTAGAATATTTTTATTAAAACAGAGTAAAGTAAATAAATTGTAAAACTAATTATTGTATATATATTCATTTGAAATATAAGTACCTGTACATTCTTCTGTTGAGATGTTGGGGACTCTACTGATACTTCGGTCCTTGTTGGTGTAAGAAGGTCTCTAACCTGTTCTTCTAGATAGCCAATCCTGTGGGTGAGTCTGAGATTATCGGATCGCAGGGTACGCAAAGCTGTCAAGGATTCGCCTTTGCGTAGGACCACGATTTGCGCCGAGTCGGGGGCAACGGCCAGAAGTCTAGCCAGGTCGTTTCTTCCAGCTCCCACAACAAGCTTTCCATTCACTTCCAAGATCCTGAAAACAATGTCGATAGATAAAACCACATGCTTACAATTTCCACATACACACAACATATACACGCAACGGGCGTTCTAGCTTACAGCAGATACTCTAATCTTCGTTAGCATTAACTTCAATAATTTGATTATTGTGCATACGCGATGCACGGCTTTTATGAATGGAAGGTAAAATTACTGCTTCCTGCATACATCTATTGTGTGTGTAATAAAACTATAGAATACATATATACTCATCACCAGGAAGAAAATATTCACACCCAGGGAAAATACAAGAACATCTCTTTCTTCCTTATGAATGCAAATATAATCTTAAAAACCAAAAATGTAAAAATTAACATATATTTTCCTTTATGTTTTTCGACCTCAAAAATCCAAAAATCACATTTTTAAAAAATGTCAAAAACCGATTTTTCAAAAATTTTAAAATGCAAAAAAAGAATAGTTAATCGCATCTTTTGACCTATTATCGAATATTCTACGGTAATTTTATCCAGAGTTATTAACGAAGTTATTGATGTTAAAAATCTATCTCTCGAAACGCCCAAAAAATACCACTTAACACCTTTTTAAAATTATTATAATACTGAACAAGTTATCATAAATTTAATTTGTACACAAGTTTTAAATATTATATGTTACATTCTCAGTATTTTGATATAGTCGTCTGCTTTTTCATAAATCGACAAATATTCAAAACGTCAATTCGTCGTATTATCATCGTCATGTAAAAAGTTAAATTACTTGACAAAAATACTTCGACCAATTGACATTTCGACATTTTGCTAATTCAACGAATTGTTCGTTCGACTATTTGCCAATTCGATAAATTGACGTTTCGACGAAATTATATTTTTAATAGTGTTAAAATTCAAGGATTTAGAATTGCGACTATTTTTCGATTTGAGAAAAAGCAGGCGACTCGTTTTGCTAATTATAAAAATAGAATTGATAGATTTTCACAGCTGAGTTTGTCAAAAGTGTTGTGAAGAAAGTTAAACTCGATTTGTCGGGGACAGGGTCATGTGAAAATGCAGTTGCTATTAGTGAGGGCACACGGCGTACTTCCGGTACTGTTTCACGCTGTAAATGCCCTTGGGAACGGAACACCAAGATTGCTCATTGTTCTTCTTGACAGAAAAGGGTTACGCGATACCACACATTTTTTTGGCTAAACATTGATTCTACATTATTATATATTTGCAATAAGTGTATTAAATCAATTCTTTTACTTTTACTATAGTTATAAATACACATATTGAAAATAATTAAATGGTACGTGTTTTATTTAAAAAGACTATTTAACTTAAAAATGATGTCACTTTTATATATACTTTTCATACTTTTAATTTTTCAGCATTAATAAAAATGGTAAGATTATTTATAAAATAAAAATTAACATCAACTTATTTTATAAAGTAATTGAATTGAATTTATATCTAACTAATGTCAACTAATGTAGCTATTGTTCATTATATATATGAAAGTTCAGTTTCTATATCTACAAAATAACAAATATTTATAAAATAAATTAATCCAAATAGTTGTAGTTTTTGCATCTAGTATTAATAATTTAAAAATAATTTTTTCAGGATATTGTGGATAAATAATAATTTGTGTGACGTAATATAATACGTTTTCCATCAATTTTTTTCCTCTTTCCTCTTTTTAAATCCTCTTAATTCTTAATGTAAACTCTATAGAAAAATAAAATATCAAAGTATTCCTTTTGTATTACCTATTTCCATTAAAACAAAGAATACAAGAATTTTATACTTTAAAGAAGAATATTCTAGTCTCGAAAGAATAAATCGATAAGGTATCAGAATAGGAATTTTCCATTTAATACACTACCGTCAGAAATTGTGCGACCTCTGCTTTTTCGATGACTATAAAGTGATTTAAATCTGCAAAAATATTAAAACTAAAATTTTTTCTTCTTTATTTTATAAAAGCTAATAAAAGTCTGAAGGAAATGACACCTTGACAAAAAGAATATGTTAATTTTTCAATTAGATATCTAAGAAAAACCCAATTTTCAATGTTTTTACTATTTTTTTTATTTCTCTGGCAAAAAATTAATATTTTTAAACGTCCTTAGGCTTATTGAAATCTTTTTTTGTTATACAATTCAAATTATTTAAAACAATTAATGTCCACATTCTTCCCTAGCGTATGCAAACCGTGAAAGTTGACTAAAAAAAAGTCAAAAAATTAAATTTCAATTTTACAACAAAATGTAATGTTTAAAAATTAAATAAATAGATCATCTTAAGCTTCTTTGATTTATGTAAGTAAATTTAAGATTTGCATATTTTACTGATCATTTTTTGTCATTTAAATATTAATATTAATTTTTTGCCTTTTTTTGAGCCAATTTTTACGGTTTGCATACGCTAGAGAAGAATGTGAACATGAATTGTTTTAAATAATTTGAATTGTATAACAAAATGCAATTCCAATAAGCCCAAGAACGTTTAAAAATAAAAAATAAAAAAAAATTTTAGTTTTAATATTTTTGCAGATTTAAATCACTGTATGTCGTCGAAAAAGCAGAGGTCGCACAATTTCTGACGGTAGTGTATAAGATTACTTTTTTTGGGTGTATTTCTGTTTTTAACTTTAAGGTGAAATAAAATTGAACAGAAGAATATATATATAGATATACCTTTAACAGGCACGATCTTTAAACACAGACTGTGAAAGTCAAATGTGTTGGAAAAACGTGTTTTACAATTATCTGAAGTATAGAACTCCAACTCTTTCAAGAGAGAATAATAATTGTAAGCACACATCCGTTCTTTCATTCGTTGAACCAAGACCACTTCCGGTGAAATGTTTGACCGAATTTGACTCAAGAAGACTTTACAGAAAAAAATCTGAATCTTACAAACTACACTGATTAAAAAAAAACGACATCAGAGACTTTATATTAATGTGAAGAGGAATATATAACAATATCATCGCTATTTATAATTTGCAATTAAATTTTTTAACATAGAAAAAGCATTAAGTTTCATTGGCAAATGGATTTTTATAGTACTTACTAGCGTCATATCCTCTCTCGCTAACGCTCGCTCGGTTGAAATTGTACTCATTATTGTTTACTTATTTCAGTTCATTCATATGTATTTACTCTATTTTTTAAATTAATATTATAATAAATTTATTATTATCTTTAAGTTTTATATTTTTAAGAAATCTTTAATACTTTTCATAAATAAATAATTTATTTTTATGAATATAATGATTTGTGTTTTGTTCTACATTAGTTATTTTATGACTATAAAACGGTTGAAATATAACAAATTTTAAAAATGTTATTTCCTAAAACCCATTTTGGATTTTTAGAAATAACTATCATATTCGTTATCCTGAAAACCCTCAAGTAACAACTTTCAAGCAATTCCAATCAGAACTAATTTTATATAGGTAATTAATTATTTATCAGTATGGGCTAACTTTCCATGGTTAAATTTACTTTATTTTATTGTTTTAAATATAATATAATTATAATTATTATATTATTATTATTATAAAATAATTTTATTGTTTGTAAATAAAGTACGTATAATGACTATATTACAAAAGTTTATAATAAAACACTATTATTTAATAACTTATGTTACTAAAATAAAAAAATGATTAAATTTTTCTGTAAACTACGTTATAAAAAACATGTTTACATTATAATAATGAAGAACATTATAATAATAAACATATTTTTAAGAAAACTTTTAATGCTTTTCATAAATAAATAATTTATTCTAACAAATATTTTTGGTTGTTTCAAAGAATTTTTTTTTTTAGTTTTCACTAAACTGTCTTCGGGAATTACGCAACCTCTGTTTTTTCGATGATTATAATACGGTTTAAATATCTATAAATTTAAAAAGTGTTATTTCCTGAAAGTCCTTTTGAATTTTCAGAAACCATAAATTTTAATCAAAACTCTTTTTATGGGTAATTCATGAATTATTTAACAATATTGGCTAACTTCACATAGTTTAATTTAATTTCATAATATATAAAGTAATTCATGTGTCTTGTTTATTAAAAAAAATATTTTAATTAATAATATAATAGATTTTTGAAAAAGATAATTCATTATTTTGTTTAAATTTTAGATTTTTAATAATATTTTTTAATACTTTTTACAAATATTATAAAAATTATTATTTGCCATTGTTGGCAGCGCTGGAAAAATATTAAGAAAAAATTAAATTAATATTTCTGATATTCAAAACACAGCAGCGCCTTTGCTGGCAGCGCTGTAATAATGCCTCCTTTTGGCTATTGAAAAAAAAATATTTAAGTTGAGTTATCATTTTTATACATTAGTTCACTTAAAGAAGTAAAAATTTATGAAATTTAAAAAACAACAGCGCCTTTGTTGGAAGCGTTGGAACTATATAAAGAAAAAATTAAAATAATATTTCTGATATTTAAAATATTGTAGCGCCTTTGCTGGCAGCGCTGTAATAATGCCTCTATCTGGCTATTGAAAAAAACATTTAAGTTGAATTTTAATTTTTATACATTAGTTTATTTAAAATAAATAAAAATTCACGAAATTTAAAAAACAACTGCGCCTTTGCTGGCAGCGCTGTAATGGTGACTCCCTAAGGTTATTCAAAAAAATAATTAAGTTGGCTCGTATTTTTTTATATTTTTTTATTTAAAATAACATAAAGACTTTACCAGACCTCTTAAGTACTAAATTGAAAACCAAGTATCTATCCAAAACGTCCACGACGTGGGAGTTGGAAACGTAAATTAATAATTAATGAATTAATTATCAATTACGGCTAACTTTGGAGGGTGAAATAAAATTGTATTATATTTAAAATTATTTATACATAATTAATTACAGAGTACTTACTTATTAATGTATAAAAGTGATGACAGCTTCCACATAGCAACGATAATTCCCTAAAGCTTTATAGAATGGTCTTAGGTTACCTTGGAAAAGTTCCATTTTCAAGTTCAAAAAAGATGGTTTATGTCTTAAAATGTCCGCAAGTGAGGAAATGTTTAAGGCGAAACTTGACTGAATTTGTAAATTACAATTTCGTTGAAAGTTCAAAATGAAAATAGACATAAAATATGAACTACTTTTACAGTCGAAAGAAATATTTTAAAAAGCAGTTATAATGCCACTGGCATGGGATATCAAGTACCTCGAATATTGCAAAATCGAAATTATTAGATATCAAAAATATAAATTTAATTTTAATCATCCATAAATAGCTAAAACAAAATTTGCAAATTTTTTGCAAAAAACTTAAAAAAAAAATTCAGATTTTTTTCTAATTCATATGTTTAATTTATGTTTTTTTAATTTTGAATCATATCTGTACAAAAATTGTTGAAAAAGAATGTGAAAAACGAAAATTCTTGGCCCAGTGACGTCACGAAGACGACAAAACAAACATTTTAATATAATAGAAGATTATATTAAAAAGATTGTTCGTATACATGTGTATATACTTTGTGTATATGTGTGAGTATACATGTGTATGTACTTTGTGTATATGTGCGAGTATACATATGTGTATGTGTCTTGTGTATATGTGTGAGTATACATGTGTATCTACTTTGTGTATATGTGTGAGTATACATGTGTATGTACTTTGTATATATGTGTGAGTATACATGTGTATGTACTTTGTGTATGTGTGTGAGTATACATGTGTATGTATGTTGTGTATATTTTGTGTATATGTATGAGTGTATGTGTTTGTGCCTTGTGTATATGTGTATATGTGTGAGTATACATGCACTGAGAAAAATAATAATGTAATGTTAATAAAATAATTTGGTGGAGCACTTTTAGTTAAGGTTACAAAAATTTAGTTGACATAACAGTAACGAAAGAAGCAATCAATCGAGAAATTTAGTTGGCTGTACCAAAAATTTCGTTCAAGCTTTTGCGTCTGTTAACTGAATAATTTGGTTCTCCAAACCAAACCGTCTGAATGCTCAATTGCGCATGCGCTGTTCTCGTAAATATGGCTTATTTCTCTGTTTACGGATGTCACACGTTAACCATGCTTCGTTCTTCGTGTCGTCCAGTTTTATTCAAGTGTTTTCGGGATTTTTATGTGTTTCAGAAATTCGGTAAAAAAGTGTGTGTAGTGATGCATATCGAACAGAGAGAATAAAGCTTGTTAAAAGAACGGAAGTTTTTCTCCAGCCTGTATACTTTATGAAAATAATTTACACTCACATTGTCACTAGGATTCTTAGTGTAGTGGTCAGCGTTCTTGATTTGCGTTGTGTAGTCTGAGGGTTCGATCCCCAGCAGTGTTAGGTTTTTCCGCAATAGAAATTAATTTAAGTAGACATAGGGTGGTAGGTAATATAAAGCGAAAAGAATAAAAGAGGATAACAAAAGTGATAAAATTAAGTGAAAAATAAAAAATATAAGTGTGAGCCAAAAAATAATTTGGTTGAGAAAAGAAAAAAATTTTTTTCATTTAACTAAATTTTTTGTTTGCTTAAAAACAATAAGTTAGTTGTGCAAAACAAAAAATTTGGTAGACCGAACAAAATGATTCAACGAAAAAATTTAGTAGCCTGAACCAAACGGATTAGTTGCACATATATCAAATAAAAAATTTGGTTTGGAGAATCAAACTTCAGTAGATGATGCCAAACAGTTTCCTCAGTGTGTGTATCTACTTTGTGTATATGTGCGAGTATACATGTGTATGTGTCTTGTGTATATGTGTGAGTATACATGTGTATCTACTTTGTGTATATGTGTGAGTATACATGTGTATGTACTTTGTATGTATGTGTGAGTATATATGTGTATGTACTTTGTGTATATGTGTGAGTATACATGTGTATGTACTTTGTGTATATGTGTAAGTATACATGTGTATGTATGTTGTGTATCTTTTTAATATAATAAGGATATAAAACGTAATATATAGCAATGTCCAAAAAGAATTTTTGCAATAACTTTAGTATTGTTTTTACAATAAAAGTTTAAGAAAGGGTGTTTTTGTCAATTCTAAACCAGAAAGTCCCCTTAAATTGTTTTATTATTATTAGTATTAAATAAAAATTTAAAAATACTATAAAAATTTGTCTTCCTCGTATTAAACTATGTAGGGGAGGGTGGGACTAGTTGAACATTTTTTCACTTGATCGGTCATAGGTCCTCAAATTGCTTGCTATGCATACTGATGGATAAGTAACACAAGCCTGTAAAAAAACAAAAAATTTTGTTGTTTGTTGTTTCTACCGGATAAATCCAACTTGCTAGAGACTTGTCATATGAGTCAAATTAAAGCTTGAACCCTGTACTTTACGACGATATAGAGATATTGACAACAACAAAATAAATTAGCTCTCAAAAATGGTTTTTTAAGTTGTCAAGCATAAAAATTGACTCACAGTCACACTGTCCGTAAATACAACTATTTTAAAAACTATTTAAATTTAAAATAGCAGATCCAATATGTCGAATTGAATCAATTTTTAATAATTCGTCCCAATAACCGCCATTTTGAATTTTGAAAATCTGACATCATATCCATAATCCGCGACCCCGAAAACCCCCGAGTTACAAATTCCAAGCGAATCCGTGTATTTTTTATAATAGTTGTATTTATGAACAGTTGTTAGTCAATTTTTATGCTTGACAACTTAAAAAACCATTTTCGACAGCTAATTTATTTTGTTGTTGTCAATATCGATATATCGTTGTAAAGTACAGGGTTCAAGCTTTAATTTGACTCCTATGACAAGTCTCTAGCACGTCGGATTTACCCGGTAGAAATTTTCAAAAACTGCCAAAAACGTGATTTTTGGGATTTTCACTCCCACTTTTCTCAAAATCCAGACGTGATAGGAGGTTTTCGTTGCCAGATTCGGATTCAGCGCACCAAAAACTACGGGAAATGACTTCCCGATCTCTGACAACAAAATTTATTGTTTTTTTACAGACTTGCACTGAAGGAAATTTTTCGTAATTACTGCCATAATTCTTAATGTTTCTGTCATATCGTATAACTGAATTAACATGGCACTGTTACTGCCATACAGTTTGGGTAATGCAACCAAACGAATAGTACTTCTAAAGAGCAAGATGTCTGACTCAGACTTCACATGGCTAATATAACCCAACTTACCTGCAAATTTGACAGACTGTATAACCAATTCAACCAGAAATCTCAACCATAAGTTTATGGCTGAAATTTCGATAGAATTTCTTTCCGTGTGTGTAATCTATCCCTTTTTAAAAATCTCTATAGTAATATACTTCTAATGAGTCACATTTAAGTGCTAGAGTCGTTTAAGTAAAGTAAGTCAAACATGCCAACGTTCCCCACAGGTGAGGTAAGTTGAGCAAGACTATGGGGCAATTTAAGCAGTTAGAAATTCTATAGCCAAACCACGGCTAGTTTTCGTCAATTTTTTAGTGTCATGACAATGAAATATAAAGCAATTTTTTTAAAAATATTAATAATAGAAATATATTATTTGCTAACCTATCTCCTTTACAGAGTCCGGAATCCTCAACTGCCCAATCGACATAAAGTCCAGGTGCCTCCTCTCTTGGTCCAGCTCCAAATCGTGGACTCTTTGGATCGGCACTCACTTCTAGTGCGTGAATTGTTACCTGAATAGCTCCTGACACGCAACTGAAATATTTTACAATCTGTGTTTTATTATTTTAAATAATCATTAGAATCAAATAAAATAGGGGAGTGTAGTCATGAGTGGACAACGTTTTGTATTTTGTGCACAATTTTCTTTGAGGTAAACAATTAGCAAAGTTTGATATATACCGCTATAAATAGCTACAAGTTACATGTATTTAGAATTTTTTTTACTGTCACAAAAAGTTTTCTAGACATTTTTCAAACCGTGTTTTTTAACTTTCTTTTTTTGTAGTCGGGAGTGGACCACACTGCAAAAATTCTCCTAAAACTTATCAAAGACAATTAAATACTATAGAACTTCAATTGAGCATATGTCAATGCAATAACTGGTTAGGATTGCGAGCATTAGGGTGAAGGGTTCAATTCTCAGCGTTTAAGGATTTTTTAGTGTGTTAAAAAAAAAAATTAAAAATTATATGAATATGATAAAAATTAATAAGCTGTGTGTCAATTTTGCTAAGTAAAATTTGTTTTATTTATAAAAAACAATTAATATTTCTCACTTAATTAATATTTTCTTCTCTCACGTCTCATGCACCTAACCTCAAAATTGGTGACACACACCCGAGCTGTCCTAATAATCGGCGTTCCAGTGTATTATCAAAAACGACTAATAAGGACATAATAAATTATTTCGAAAAGGGCTCAACTCGAAAAAGCGTAAGTGTCATTTTCGCATAACAAATGATAGTGAAAATGACTAATTGTTTTTGGAGTTGAACCCTTTTGAAATTCACGATTCAATAATTATAATTACAAAAAATAATACAAAATTAATAATTTATACAAACATTTTTAAAAAACTTTAAACAACTTTTTTTATAATAAATGCAATAATATCATGATTGATTGTGGCTACCCCACTTTTCCCTATATGAAATTTGTTTACAAATTTAACCCGAACGAAAAATAGAACAAAGAGCAGTGTTTATTCAGTGAAAAGTACTTGAAACACATTTGTATAAAAAAAGTAATTATACTGTACCTGAAAATTGTGTCACTCTTTTGCTTCTCTTGGGTTTCTGCTAATTCGAGCGCTGCTTGAAGTGCTCTGCTTTCTTCTCGGAAAGTCAAGAGCTCCAACTCTTCTCGCCCTAGCCTGTACTCTAATTCTGCTTGTTGAATTCGTACATCGATATTGCTATAAAATGTTCAAATTATTATAATCCCTTATGATATTTCAAATGATGCTCATTTATAGTAAATATTTATTGTAAAGATAAAAAAAAAATAAAAAAAAAAATTTTTTTTTATAAAATTATAAAAGTTATAAAGAAGTAACATAAAATTAATTAAAAATAAATATTTTTTTGAAAAATTAAAACCCAATAAACATAATTTTAGCATTACATAATACTTAGTAAGAAGAGGATTAAAATAAGTTAAAATGATTACAAATAAGACTCAATTTCCAACCATTACATAACTAAACTATATATGGGATGGCATGTGTGGATTTCACTGTTTTAGTTCTCCACATAAGGTACCTAGTACGAAATTATATAGGAAATTATATGAGGAATTTCAATATAGATGTAGATCATCATAGTTCCACTCTTACACCGCAAGATGGTGATGATTTTTTGTCTCACACTTGAAACCAGTCTCGAATACTATAAAAGCTGAGAGACCTTTTGGACTGCAGCGCGCGGAACAAGGTAAGTGACAGCAGCGCCACAATGGTTTTGGTGTGCGGCGGTACAATTTTGGGAGCGTGACTGTCCAAAATGTTGGTGAGTACCCAGTAAAAAAAAAAGAATTAGGAGTAAGCGAAAAGAATTGATGGTAACTTAAGCTGAATGCGGTTTGGCGAAGAAACCGAATTGGAACGTTACGGTGAATTATTTTTTTCTTACCGTGAATTCTTTTCTCTTAAACATTTGAATTGACGTTTGTTTATTCGAGTTTGCATTATAAATGAATAAGAATAAATGTTTCGAAGTCTAAAAAAGCCGATTTGGAATAAGACATATATAATTTTTTAAAAAGAAATAAAAGTGAAATGTGATAGATTTACCGACAATTTTACCATGTGAGTACTACTCATATGGTAAATTTATCATATGAACACTACTCACTTGATAAAATCGTCGGTGAATCTGTCACACTTCGCTTTCATTTATTTTTTTTAAATTATATATTTCTTATTTCAAATCGGCTTTTTTGTAGACTTCGAAGCATTTATTTTATTCATTTATAATGTAAACTCGAATAAACAAACGTCAATTCAATTCAAATGTTTAAGAAAAAAGAACCCTGCTAAAAATAAAATCAGAAATCAGTCTCAAAACGTCAGAAATCCTGACGTTTTGAGACTATTTTGATCTTCTGTGATGCTGCTGACTAATTCTGACTTAAATAGTTTTTATGGGCCTGACGTTTTCTAAAAAGTGACGATTTCTCACTACGTTTTATTTTTTTTATAAAAAGGGTTCCAAGAGAGGTACCAAGGCCACTCAAACCCACCATATAACTCTATTATATTATATATTCCCTTTTTCCAACAGAAGGGTCCTTTCGAGGGTCCATCAGGTTTTATGACATTTTAATGCAAAATAAAAAATTATTTAAATTTAAATAAATATTTTTTTAAATGTTATATTTGTAATTTATAGATTTTAACGATTCCAATGATATAAAACATTATGTAAAAACTCTAAAATTACATAATGATTATACAATAAATACTCCATTAATTAAAATTAATTCTCAATAATTTAAAAATATTTGCAAAAAATTTTATATCGTTGTAATTGTATTAACATGTACATTACGAATATAATATTTAAAAATCATTTTTTTCAAATGCAACAATTTTTAATTTTGCAATGAAAAGCCATAAAACCATAAAAGATCCTTCTGGCCTATACTTTTCTTTTTGTCCTTTTCTAACGTACATATATATAATATATATGGAATCAAGTTTGTAAGACAAGGACAGAAAAGGGAAGGCGTCAATGACTACGACTATACTTTTAAAGTCCCTACTTCAAATTTGTATTTATTATTTTACAGTAAGCTAGTTTCCTTACATTTAGTTATAAGAAAGCAACATATGTTGAAAACCTATTCTTACCATTGTGTTAACTCTATATATATATATATTTGAAAAAAATTAGAAATCGCTGGCTATTTCACATAAAAGTTTATTTTTTTACAACTATAGATGAGCAAAAACATTCTGGTCTCTTGTAAAATAGAATATATGAATTGATCGCTCAATCAATCTCTGAGCGAATTTGATCCAGTTTCCACTAAATATAAATTTGATTTGAACCAAATATTACATCTAATTATAGTGCAGTATGCTAAAAAGAGAAATTAAAATTAGTAATTATTTAGTTGATTTGTGGAAGAATTATGTTAAATTGAATTTTAATAATATAGTAATTAATATATGCATATTAATTAATTCTTATCATTATAATTAATTATAATAGTGATGAATGTGCTAAAACGTGAGCGAAAAACCTGATAAAATTCGCTCAGAGTTTACTTGAGACAATCCGGCAGTATCTTATTATTCTAGACTATTTTATTTGTATATTACACATATTCTTTTAAGTTCGAATTCAAATAATATTTACATACGAATTTTTTGTTTAATTAAATATTTGCTGAAGCAAATTTTATTAATTGAATACATTAATATATGATAATTGGACTACAAATGTTTTTTGATCAATATAACAATATACCTATTACTATTTTAACTTTACTTGTTAATTTTTAAAAATTATAAAATTTTTTAAAAATAATAATAATAATTATCAACAAAATATGTTGATAAAATTGAAAAAAAGTAATAAGATCTTCTATTTTCATAAAACCGTATTCTATTTTTAAGATCTCAGTTAGGTTAGTTTAGCTCAGGGGTTAGGTATTCGGTTTGCGTTCGTTAGGTTGTGAGTTCGATTCCCTGCGTTTGCGAGATTTTCTTCGATAGGAGTAAATAAATATAATAAATTGTAAATAATAATTAAGAATGTGTAACGTAAAGATAAAAAAATGTTGTACGATAATTTATTTTTTTAATGATAAAATATTGATTTTTTTTAATTTTTAAATATTTGTAGTCAGAATTCATGAGAAGTAAGTCAGGAATCTTCAAAACTATTTTATAGAAAGAAATGTCATTTAACATCACAAATAGTCACAGGGTTTAATGATTTATGGTATGGCAAAAAAAAGGGTCTCCGACCTCATAAAAAATCTGACTACTATTGACGATTCTTTGACTAAACCTCACTTATTGTGGTGTTCTGTGACTGCAATCGTAACAAAAACAGTCTCAAAACGTCAGAGATCCTGACTAATTTTTTGACGTTTTGTGATTTTATTTTTAGCAGGGAATTCACGGTAAGAAAAAAATAATTCACCGTAACGTTCCAATTCGGTTTTTTCGCCAAACCGCATTCAGCTTAAGTTACCACCAATTCTTTTCGCTTACTCCTATTTTTTTTTTTTTACTGGGTACTCACCGAAGTTGTAGAGACGCCACCTTTGGTTTGTAGCTGTACAACTTTTTGGTAGACACGCGCCCAAAAATGTACTGCAGCAGCCCAAACGTATAGTCTCGTAGCTTACCAACAGAATGCTCCGCAGCCGCCTGTCGAAAGTCGGTTACGGTGCAAAAGGTCTCTCAGTGTATGTAAGCCGAGACTTTAACACAGAAGGTGTATTGCAATGCACAAATTTTTTTCATTTCAGATGAATTGCAGTAATATTATTTGATTTTTAATTAAATAATTTTTAAGTTTTGTAAACTGCCGTCTGCATAGAGTAGTCAACTGAAAATTCCCACATGAAATCCTATATTGATTTTTTTATATAATTTCATGTGAAAAATTGTTGTAGGGAATGGACAAAAATAATGTGCCAAAAAAATTATAGGAAATAATGTAGGAATTCACATAGATTTCAATGTAGAAGCAACATAATAAATTCCTACATGAAATCATACACCAAATCGTGACACAATTTCCTATATGATTTTACATGGGATCCTATATGGATTCCTATGCTATGTGGGACCTGGGATTTCATAAGGGTTTTTATAGAGGAATCTATATGGGATCATATATAGGATCCCACGTGGGGATTTTCAATAGGGTTGTACAAGAAAATATATTTAATAATTGTATACAAGAAAATGTTTTTATTAAACATTTTGGTAACCCGTGTAAAAATATACCTATGTGAATACTGTTTGTTATTTGGCCCTGATAAGAATAGCCTGATTTTATCTGATTAAGGAATTTTTGGGGCCTGACAGGGTACCAGAATGCAGATGTCACTTTAAAAAAAATCAAAAAATGGAATGCTTAGTGTTTGTTTGTTGTAACTAATAAAAATATCAACAAATAAAAAATGTCAAAAGATAAAAAAATAGCAAATGGTAAAAAAAAGAAAATGGCAAATTGTAAAGAATGGCAAAACACTACAAAAAAATATAGCAAGCACAATTGGAGTTCTCGCTATATTTTTTTTGTAATATACACGCAAAAATACGTAAAAGTGTATAAATTTGAAACTCTTTAGATAAAATATTCTTCGTTTTTTGGGGAAAAATCATGATTTTTATCGAAAATTATCAGTTTTTCCTTGAAAACACTATGATAATTAACTCCAATCGTTCTCAATATATTTTTTTTGTAATCTACACGTAAAAATACATAAAAAAGTATAAATTTGGATCCCTTAGGATAAAATTTTCTTCTTTTTTTATTCGAAAAATCCATGATTTTTTCTACAAATATGAGTTTTCCTTAAAAACAATATGAACATCAACTCCAATTGTGCTCGCTATATTTTTCCTGTAATCTACACGCAAAAATACGTAAGTATACCAAATATGAACTGCCTTCGTCAAATATTGTGTGCGCTAGGAGGATTAATCGCTTTTTTTCAAAATTTTTGATTTTTCCTTGACAACGCTATGTAAATTAATCCGAATCATGTTCGCTATATTTTTCCTGTAATTTTCACGTAAAAATACATAAGTGTACCAAATTTGAGCTCTCTATGTAAAAAGATGTGGCAACCAGGGGGGGGGGTACATAGTCATTTTTAGGGATTTTTCGTAAAAATTCATGGTTTTTCCTTGACAACGCTATGATAATTAATTCCTATGAGATTCGCTATATTTTTCCTGTAATCTACACGCCAAAATACATATGTTTACCAAATTTCAGCTCTCTAGATAAATTCGTGTGGCCGCTAGGGGGGGGGGGGGTACATGACTTGCTTCACTAGTCTCATTAATAGGGTTCCCCCTTCGGGTACGGAACCCTAAAAATCAAAAAATGGAATGCTTAGTGTTTGTTTGTTGTAACTTAAACAATGTTATATCTGAAATTAAGATAAATATGGCATCTCTGACTATCCGATTTGGCCTCTATGTTTAAAATTCATCGTTAGGACTTGATCAGGTGAGGGGTTTCATTTGATCATTTCCCTGATTGGAACCTACTTTGCCTGAACTGGTCTTGATAGGAACAACGTTTCAATTTCTATACGGGCAGACTGTGTAGGCTAACGGTTCCTGTGTAGGAACTAATATTAGGAATCTGGCAAGGATCCTAGACTAATCCTATACAGGATTCTGCCAGGCTATTTTGCATGATATTGAAACAGGGATCCATGTACAGGAACATTAGTTACTAAGGTTTCTTTGCAGGTTCCTGTACGAGAAAATGTATTAAAAATAATGTCGTGTAAATGTTCATACACAGAAACACATGCCAAGGAACATTCTATGGAGGTTCATGTACAGGAACTTTTATTTAAAATTTTGTGTTAAACTTTCAGACAAAGGAACTTGTAGAGGAATCTTAGTACTAATGTTATTGCACAGCATTCCTGTTTAAAATGACCAGAAATGTATCTTGATTTTTTATTATTTATAACCAGAAAAACTAGTAAGAGTATATTTAAAATTTTATTGTTGTCAGATTAAGGAGAATTCTATAGTTATTCTAACCAAACATTTTTTTCATTGTACCCTCTCCTTAAATTACACAGGTCAAGACTGATTTTGGTGCGGCAAATGTCAAAGCTGTTTCTGATAAGTTTTCTCATGCTGAACACGAATCCGTAAACGAAAAGTTCCTATCAGCTCTAGTTTTTGATGAAAACGGGTTTAAAGTGTCAAAAAAATCGCGTTTTTGTCAAACTTTGATATTATTTACAGTCATATTATTGTTATTACTTTGACAAACAAAGTCGTAGAACCTTTTACTTGGGCTTCAATCGAAGCTTAATGTTTTTACTACAATTCCCAAAAAGCACCTTTTTGTCACTATGACCTCAAAGTCATTTGTATTACATTTTTGGGTCGCAAAAATTAATTTTGGAAAAGTTTCAGAGCGTACCTCCAGCAATGAAACAAAAGGCCATAGAACTTTTTTTTGGGCTTAAACTGAAACTAAAAATTATTGGTAACAATTGTTAAAATAGCTTCCTTTGTTGAAAGTAAACAATTTATTACTAATTACTTTGAGGTTAAGGTTCTGGAAATTAATATTCAGGGATTGTAGTCTAAAGTTAAAACTTTAGTTTAAACCTAATAAAAGGTTATATGACCTTTCATTTCATCGCTGGAGGTACGCACTCAAATTATTCAAAAATTAATTTTTGCAACTCAAAAACGGATTACAACACTGAAAAAAAATTCTAGTTAGAATAACCAGAATTATGGTTATTCCAACTAGAATTCTGGTTAGGGTATATTTAACATTAGGATTCTGGTTAGGCTAACCAGAATTCTGGTTATTTTAACAAGAATTCTAGTTAATGATGAGACAAACATCTATTTTGGTCTTGACCATGGAAATCTAATCTCGTCTCGAAAGTGTCGAGTTTTGTGGCATCATTACAAAGGATGAAGTCATTGCAATATTAAAGAAATTTATGAAGATAGTGGAAAAGCAGTTCGATAGACAAGTAAAATGTGTATAAGGTCTAACAACGAAACAGAAATAAAAAATTTTACTACTAAAAAATTATTGGAGAAACTTGAAGTTTTACATATAATAATAAACACCTACACACCGCAACAGAACGGATATATCGAAAGAGAGATGCAAACTATTGTGGAGTTAGTACGATCTGTTCTGCATGTACAAAAAATGACAATAAGCTTTTGGGAAGAGGCTATCAATTACGCAGTATTCACTATTAATTAGACTGGAAGTAGCTCTATAAAGGACAGAAGTCCTGCCGAACTTTAGTTTGGACGAACAATCTATTTAAACTGAGAAGTTTTGGATGCGAATGCATGTGTTAATCAAGGATCACAAAAAAAAGATGGTTAAAAAGTCAGTGAAAGAAGTTTCTGTCGGTTACGATTTCGACTCATCATGTATTTAATTTTTAATAAAAAGTTTGAATCTGAACGAAGTCCTACATTCCGTAAGGTTGAAAATCATTTGATCAGATCTATCGATTTTCAAACTTATGTCAAATCGATTAAATAGGTTTTTACTTTGGACAGCAGATTTTTGGATTTCTGAATTTTTTGAGTATTCAATTTGTTTGTTGTATGATTGAACTATTGAAAATTGACGTCAAAGTGAATTCAAGAAATAAAATTGTCAAATCAAATTACACATTCTACATGCAGGTTTCTACTACTTTTTTAACTACTTGTCAACCTGTTCTTAGGATCAATTGAAAACTTAGATTCTAAGGAATAATTATATAGAACGACAATTTTTTTCCTTAAATCACTTGGACCATGCAAAATGTCGAAGTCAAGGTAGGAAATTTCGTAAAAATTATAATAATTTTGGTTTAACATCTGCAAGAAAAATACCACTTTGTTTTAGCGTAAATCTCTTATGGGAATGAGGGAATAATATGAAATAAATAAATAGATTTTTAATAGAAAAATAATCCGAAAGTTATTTGAAACTAACATTAATTAATTACTGACAATTTAAAAGCTTTGTGTAATCATTTTAATTTATTTTAATCAACTTCTTACCGGCCAGTGTGACTCACTCGGTAATATCTAAGCGTTCAAGGGCTAGCTTTAGATTTTTTATTGCAAGCTTTTTATTGTCGGCATCTCGACGCAATCTTTGAAGACGTTCCTCGGTTGTTTTTTTATCGGTATCTTTTAAGGGAGGCGCTCCATTGCGCAAAGCCAAACGGTTACTCAAAGTATTGCACAGTTGCCCCTTCAGTCTGTCAAAAAATACAATTAAGTTAGCGGCTACTAACTCACGCTTTTAATTTGGTTAATTATAAAAATCCATTTTAGAGAAAGCACTAAGAACACTGATGTTTATCAATGGCTTAATGAAAAAATATGATTAATTGATAGTAATTAAAAAATCATAAATATAATCATGAAAATCAATGGCAATTAAATAATTGTTGCCAAATCATAAGATACATGAAACTGAAAAATTAAGTTAAACAGATTAAACAAACTATTTCAATTTAAATTAAAAATTCTTTTCTTACGTTTGTATAATATTTTCTTTATCTCGTAATGCAATGCGAAGGGAATCAAGTTCTTTATAGTGATCCCGATTGCGATGACTTGCAGGTGAGGTCATACCACCGGAAATACTACTTCCCTTCTTCCGCCTTGGGGTCGTTGACAGAGACACCTCAATGCTTGCCATCTGCAAGTAGATAATTTTAAAATTGTTAATCAACTTTTGTAATTGGAGTTTCTTGTTAACCTTAAACTAAAAATGCGAAATCCATAATTGAGGGGCCACATCAAGAAGACTAAAAACAGGAGGTATAACGTTTATCACCATATCTCCCTTTTTTGTAAATAAAATTTTTTGTTACTTCGTGCTTAAATAAATTTTGAGTTGACGAAACCATTGGATTCAACAAAATTAAAAATATTTTACTCATTTATATTATTTTTTAATACAAAATACTAAATGTTTGATTTTCAGCTTTTATTATTTTGCCAAAAAAAAGTATGCGAGAAAGTTTTACCAACGAAAAACTTCAAGCGAAAATGTTGTTCCTTATGGTATGGAGAAGTTTTTCCTGAAGTTTCAGATCGTTCAGTCAAAAACTGTAAAAATTAAAAACATTTTTATTCCAGCATTCGTTACATGTAAAGTAACCTGTAAAATAAAATATGAGGGAACAGAATAACGAACGAAGTGAAGTATTCATATTGAAAATCAAAAAATAAGCGTCACTGAATCAGTTTTCAAATAATTTTCATTAAAATTATTTAATAATAAAGCCCACGTGAAAAAGTTATCGGGAGATCCCGGAAAACTTTCTAAAAATAGTTTTTTTTTTTTTTTTTTGAAATTTTCCATAAAAATTGACCAGATTTATTCACATCTATTCGGGGTTCAATATTTTGTGGAAGATGACACTACCCAATGTCATTTTTTATCTCCTCGCTTTAGGAAACCCACGTGAATCAGTTCCGTGGACATTTTGCACATTCATTCGTCTGGGACTTTTGAAACAGGATATACAATTATCACTAAAAATAGCGTAAAACTAATAATTTTTAACTATTTTTCGATTTTCTTGCCTTAAAGTAATACTGATTAAATTTTTAAGATATTGCTAAAACCCAATCTTTAATTTTCATTTTACATAAATAGTTATATTGATTTAAATAAACAAATGAAAATTACTTTTTTCTACGAATCGTATGCATATCGCAATAAAATCAAAATAGTTTTTTATTATTAGACACTTACTCTCTAAATTTGAATCAGCGACTATTCGATTATTCGTAGCTGCATACTCTGGGCTGATTAAAATAGCAACTATTCGCTAGTAATAAGCGAATTTTCAATAAGTGATTATTTACTTATTCCCAGCTGCATACTCCGCTCTAAGAATAAGCGAATAGTCGCTAATTCAGATTTAGAGAGTTAAGTACTCCTACAGATTTGTGATTTGTAAAATTGTGTTCGAGTAGAACACACGTAATTTCCCGCGTGAAAATCACACTTTGGGATAAAGCTAGCGAAAAATAGGGAAAGATTTTAGCCAAGGTTTTCCAATTTTCACTATCACTTTAAAATACTGGAAAAAGATAGCAAACCATTGCTTATGAGCGTTTCCCATCCTACTTTATTTTAACAACATATAACATTGCAAATTCTTGCCAAAGAATTGCAAAAGTATGGAAGCAAAAAAAACATATTTTCTCTTTTTTTTAATGGTTGATTTCTACGAGTGTGAAGTTTGCAGTTCGTGGCGTAGCTGGCGCACGAGAAAAGACGAGAACTGTAAACACACGAGCTGGGAATCATTTACCTCCCGAGTTGCACATACTACTTTTTCTAACACACGTATTCCAAAAGTACAAATATTAAGTAAAGCAAAAAAAACATTTTTTCTAACACACGCACCGAAACTATATCATTTCTTACCTGCGTGGCGGGAGAAAAGTATAACTTTCCCCTCCCGGTGTTGTTACTAATAGATAGAAAAAAAGAATTTGATTTTGTTTTATAATATAAATTGTTAAAACTGACAGGCTATCAATTTAAGAAAATTTAATTTGTAAACTTTCGACAAAATATTATTAAATTTTCATTAAAAATTTAATAATTGTGTTCAATGCTTTATTTAATATTTGTACTTTCGGTATAGGTGTGTTAAAAAAAAAGAATGTGCAACTCGGGAGGAAAATGATTCCCAGCTCGTGTGTTTACAGTTCTCGTCATCGCTTGCAAGCACTCGCCTCGAACTGCAAACTTCACACTCGTGGAAATCGTTGTAAAAGAGCCTCGGAAAAAATGCCCCTTTTTCGTACCTCGAATTTTGAAAATTTTTTTATGCCTAATGGTTACATATGATGACCCAATAATCCCTGCAAAATTTCAAGATGAGCATGTACCACCTTTCCGAAATACAGGGGGTCAAAGGGGGCCATGTCCAAAAATAGAATATGCAATATAATCGAATAATAATGTTAAAAAAATCAGACAAAATGGTTCCCTTAAGATTTTCGTCTGCTGATTACGAATCTAAAGTCCGTTTTCAAAAATTCAAAATGGCGGATCCAATATGGTGGACAACAATTTTAAAAATCGATCCAAATTGCCTAAAAATCGTTACTCAGGGGTTTTTGGGGTCGCTGATAACGGATATGATGTGCGTTTTTAAAAATTCAAAATGGCGGAACCAATACGGCGGAACACTATTTCAAAAATTGACCCAAATTGCCTGAAAATCGTTACTCGGGGGTTTTTGGGGTCGCTGATTACGTATATGATGTCCGTTTTTAAAAATTCAAAATGGCGGATCTAATATGGCGGAACAATTTTTTAAAATTGACCCAAATTGCCAAACGAAGGTAGTATCCCAACCAATGAAGGCAAGATGTAATCGACAACCCGATTAACAAAGATAAGGAATAAGAATCGATTACATCTTGCCTTCATTGGTTGGGATACTACTTTTGTTTGGCAATTTGGGTCAATTTTTAAAAAAGTGTTCCGCCATATTGGATCCGCCATTTTGAATTTTTAAAAACGCACATCACATCCGTAATCAGCGACCCAAAAACCCCCGAGTAACAAGTTTCAAGTCAATCTCTTGTGATTCATTCACCCAAAGAAAAAAATTCAATAAATAAACAATACATCCATCAGGGTCAATTAATGTCAGCAGTTAAAAATTCAATAAATAATAATACTAATAAATAAAACAAAATTAAATAGATAAGAAAAATATCTGTTTAAAAAGCAATTTCCTCTGTTATTAAAACTTATGTTTATCAAAATCCTTCTTTTTCTTTCGTAAAAAATCCTCTACGTATGTGGCTATTGCCTCCCAATTTTCTTTACTTTCAATCAATTTATCTACTACGTTCTCTGGTGTAATGCTTCCCGTTACTTGTTGCACCTTAGTTCGTTCTTGCATCCATTTGCGGCATTCAAAGAAGGTGTGATAAACATCATCTGCTGATGATGAATCACAGTATATACATTTTTCATTAGGCATCTTTCTTATTTTGTGCAAATATTTAATGAAAAGTCCATGTCCGGTTAGAAACTGTGTTAAAAAGAAGTTTACTTCACCATGTTTTCTATTTATCCATTTGAAGATATTTGGGATTAACCTAGCAGTCCATCTTCCTCTCTCCTCCCTATTCCAGCTTTCTTGCCATTCATTCAAAATTTGCTCCCTTGCGACTTTCTTAGCTTCTTTCTTACAAAGAGTTGGTTTTGTTTTATATACCAGGCGCCTTTCTTTGGCTTTTAGTTCAATGGGTACTGTTTCTGCTACAACAATAATTGCAGGCGCTGAAACTGTCCTATAGGCACACGTAACTCGAAGCGCGCCTCTTCTATGAACTGCGGCCATAGAGCTTCTATATTTCTCATATTTCAGGCTGTCAGCAAAAATTTCGTTCGAGTACAGCATAATTGCTTCCACTGTCTGTAAAAGTATACGTCTCTTGCTGGGCAAAGGTCCATGAATATTTATCATAAGTCTGCTCAGTGATGAAGTTACTGATGCAGCCTTTTCTGTTGCGCTTCTTATTTGTTCCCAAAAAGTCATTTTAGTATTGACCATTACTCCTACATATTTTATAGCGGTCTTCACTTCAATTTTATTTTTTTCGACATTCATGTGGATGGGGTATTTTATTCTTTTCTTAGTTATAAGGGCTATCTCTGTTTTCCTTAAGGCAAGTTCTACGCCATGTTTTCCAACCATGATTGAATTCTGCGCATCACTTGATTAAGTCGCATTTGAGCAAACTCTAAATTTTTTGCTATTATTACTGCTGCTACGTCGTCCGCGTAACCAACCAGAAAACATCCCTCTGGCATATCCATAGTCAGGATCCCGTCATAGGTCATGTTCCAGATGTCTGCTCCAAGCACGGATCCCTGAGCGACACCAGCCGTAAGTTTTCTTCTTTTAATTCCATCATCTGCATTGAAGAGCAAGAATCTATTTCGTAGGTAGTCTTTCATTACACTAAGTAGGTACTCAGGCAATTCAAAGTCTTCCTTCATAGCTTTCAAAGCGTCCTTCCACCTAACGGAGTTAAAAGCGTTTTTAACATCTAACGTTACCAATAGACAGATTGGCCAAGAGTAATGATTTCCACTTTCAATGCTTTTACCGACAGTTACGACTTCTTGAACAGCGTTAATAGTTGACCGCCTTTTCCTAAAACCATATTGTCTCATTGCTAAATCTCCTGAATTCTTTACCGCTTGCTGTATTCGAGGTCTCAGCATTTTTTCATAGACCTTCCCCGCTTCGTCCAACATTCCAAGTGTTCTGTAGGAACTGGGTTCATCTACCGGACCCTTGCCCTTGCTTATTAGTGCCAGTCTGGCCTCTTTCCATCTTGAGTAGAAGATCCAGGTTTTTAAGCAGGCATTATACATGGTGAGAAGCATTTCAGAATGATTTATTGCTATTGCTTTCAACACTTCTGCTGGGATTCCGTCGGGACCGGGTGCCTTTTATGATTTCATGGATCGGATTGCAATCATGAGTTCATCTTTAATAAACAAATTATCTACTTGAACTTCCTGTGGTTCATCTTCGATTGGCCTTTCCTGATGGGTTGGAAAGAGAACGTCTACAATGTGACTAACAGTTTTCATGTCTGTGGGTGTATTACTTGAAAATTTTCCAAGTTTTTTCATCACAATTTCATACCCCAAGCCCCAGGGGTCGACATCAACGTCTTGTATAAGCTTTCTCCAGCAATAAGATTTGCTGTTCTTAATAGCGTAGTTAAGCTCCTTTTTTGCTTCCTTGAAGCTTTCATTTTTAGATTTTACATGGCGGCTTTTTTGTTTCGTCCTCTGTACTATTCTTCTTAGCTTCAAGCACTTTTTCCTTAGGTTACCAATTTCGCTAGTCCACCAGTATACAGGCCGCCTCTTTGCTTTAATTTTCTTCCTCGGTAGCACTTCATCACAAGCTGCCCGGATAATTTTGATAATTCGTGCGACCAAATTCTCGGCAGATCCTGGGGATTTTATTTGATTAAGGTCGAACTTTTGATCTCTTATTCTCCATTCTATAGCTTGTGATAGCAGTTCAATATTTATCTCATTGACGTTCCATATTGTTCCACGTAGAACTTGGCCTCGTTGATTTGGATTAATCGTCAAATTCTCTATATTAAAAGATATGTACTGATGGTCACTGGCCGAAAACCATTCCGTGACAGCCCATTATTTTATCCTTGCTGCTAATCCTTGTGTTGCTAATGTAACACCTACTATCGTCCCCTTACATCGAGTTCTTCTGAAGGTGGGAGATGATCCTGAGTTCATAACTACCAGGTCAAGTTTGTAAACCATGTCCATTATACGCCTTCCTCTAGAATTGGTTCTCAATTCTCCCCATTCTACTGCTTTAGCATTGAGATCTCCAGTTATTAGGATCTCTCCTTCCATGTATCGCAGAGTATCCTCCAGCTCATCTAGTTTTAGTTGAAATTGACCGATTTTATCGCTAGGCGTGAATTAGCAACTCACATACGTCAAGTTTCCGCTTTGAATCCATACAAACCCATCTTTACTGCCAGATTTGATCACAGGGATGCGTTGAGCATGTAAAATCCATATAGCTGCTGTGTTTGATGGATCGGAATACCATCCTTTATTTTTGCTCTGATATTGTTCGCTGATCATTACTATATCACTTTTATGCTCATAGCAGATCTGATCAAGTAAGCTATAGGCTGTTTTGCTTCTGTGCATATTTCCTTGCAAGATCTTCAGAGTCTCTGGTGTCATGCTTTTGATTCCCCTAATGCCTTCCGGTATATTTTGAACGAGTAGGTCCCTGCAACGTGTTTCGTTTCTTCTATCCCAGCCTCTCTGCATAAAAAGCAATGCGGATTATCAATACACTCTGCCGCTTTGTGGCCTTCTTTTCCACATTTATAGCATGCATTAGTCCAATCAGTTCCTTTGCATGTCAGTTTATTATGTCCAAAAAGCAAGGCATTTGAAGCATCTCAAGGCATGCTTCTTCTGCTTAAGCCGGCAATTTACCCATCCAATCTTTATTCGAGTTGACTGCAGTAATTTAAGAACAGCTTCCTGTTCTAGCGTTACAATGGCCATTCGTTGTTTCATTGTATTAGGATTCGTTAGCCTTATATTCAGTATTCCTTGACAAATCTGAAGTTTTTTCTTAACAGCATCTTTTCCTTCCTCTTCCGTTGTAAGGCTGTCCATGTCTTTTATTTCCAATGTTATTTTTGGGATTAAGCGGGATACCCTCACAAGTAGTCGCGAACCCCCACCTCCAAAGACGAAAGCAGCCCTCATTCTGCCCTGTTGAAAATTCCTATGTGAGAACACATATGGGATCCCATCCAGGATCTCTTGTGAGTTCTTATGTGGGTTCCCATACAGGTTCACACATAAGATCCTGTATGAAAAGGTTCCTGGGATGAACTTGCGTGAGATCAAGCGCACGATCTTATGTCTCTGTAAAAGCAATAACACAGGATCCCATGAGGTTTCCTGTGTAGGTTCCTATATGAACAACACGATAAATAGGAACACACATGGGATCTTATCCGAGATCTTGTATGAGTTCTTACATAGGTTCTCACATATAAGAAGATTAATAGCAGCTTAATAAGATTTGATATAAAATCTTATTAAGCTGCTATTAATCTTCTTATATGTGAGAACCTATGTAAGAACTCATACAAGATCTCGGATAAGATCCCATGTGTGTTCCTATTTATCGTGTTGTTCATATAGGAACCTACACAGGAAACCTCATGGGATCCTGTGTTATTGCTTTTACAGAGACATAAGATCGTGCGCTTGATCTCACGCAAGTTCATCCCAGGAACCTTTTCATACAGGATCTTATGTGTGAACCTGTATGGGAACCCACATAAGAACTCACAAGAGATCCTGGATGGGATCCCATATGTGTTCTCACATAGGAATTTTCAACAGGGTGGGAAGTGCCCAAAATTAACGGGATACCCTCAAAAGAGGCTGCGAGTCCCTGAAGGCAAAGGCCCCAACCCTGTAGGAAGACGAGCATTTCGCTTCAGAGCGAGCAGGTGACGGATCACCGCACTCTCGACCGTAAGCCTCTCCACCTCGACACGGTCCACCAACCCATAGGAGAGGGTTTTTATGATATTTATAGAAATAGATGTACAAATAATAATAATATAATAATTATATATTTTAGATATTTACAACAACAAATTTGAGCAATATTTTTTTGCTTTACTTATAACTTTTTCCCTACTAAAAATGGAGAAAAATGTTAAGAATGTTTTTTACGCAGAAGACCTTAAACTTTTAGATAAAAATTATTTTTTCAAAAAAATATTAATTTTTAAACAATTTTTTTAAAAAATAAAATTTGTTTATAACTTTTAAACATGTTCTCCCTCTTTTTGAAGCGAAAAAAAAGTCATGCGAACTAAGATGTCAAATCACCTTAACCGTAGGGAATAAAAGAGCTTGAATACCAACTGATAGGACTTACTTTTGCTTCCAATGTTTCCAACTGAGACATTCTCGGCTCTAAGATTGGCTGCTGTTGTTGTAGTCCAGATCCTATGTGTAGAGCAGTCTGAAGTTAAAAATGAAATTATATGTAAAACTAAAAGAATAAAATTTTTTTTATACTTTCTTTATATCTCAATAATAATAACCAACACGTTTAACGATAAGCGTGAATGAGAAGAAAAAACGGACATTCGAACAAAACTGTTGTAAGGAGCAAGCAAAAAGTGAAAAATCAAAGCTTATCTCATAGGTATACAAACTTCAAATTAGTAGGCACACCAAAATTGACTGGTAGCACTTGATTCCATTGAATTTAGAAAGTAACTGATCCTTAAATTTAAAGTTACTCACTGAACTCTACGAGAATATATATGTGCCATTTCATGAGTTTTTTTAGCACTTATCGGAGTAACCTTTCCAAATAAAATGAAACATTTTTTTTATATTTATTAATATAAACGATAGAGTATCGTAGTATAGTGGCGCGGCGGAAAGAGAGAAAGTAGACAGCGTAAGTAGTTGTGTCACTCTCTTCCCCCACCACTCGCTGTCACCTAGCTGCTAGTGATATACCTTTCGTCTCGCACCTTTTCCTCAGTCTTCTTCCGACTCGTCTAGAGGTGCTTCTCTGACGATTGGAAGCGACTCACTCCTGGCTACCTGGTGCTCAGTAGAAGTGCGTCTCTCTGAACACCGGAGCCTTCCTCACTTCCTAGAATGAGCTGTACTTGTTCCTGTAGGCGCTCCTGCGGAACAGTAACACCCTTCGCCTTCCTTCCTCCTGGTGAACTGGACTTCTAATGGGCGCTTCCGTGGAAGATTGGTGAACCACTCACTTCCACCAGGACCGTCCTTGTCGAGTAGAGTCGCTCCTCTCTTAACAAATATGATGCACTAGGTCGATTCCCCATCTCGAGGCGCTTCTCGGGTGGAGGAGACACCTAGTGAGTATTACTTTGCACTAGCTTCGCGTCGGGCATGAATATTGGAACCGAATCCAATATCTAGCTTCTTCCCGATTACGAATAATAATCGACCTAGCGTCCATGACCCTAATTTCCGTCCGTTCCATCGTCTAGGAGGTAAATTCTAGAAAGTACCCCACGCGAAAGTAATATGCGTCGTCCTGATCAACATCTTCGCGAACGAGGTAAATATGTTTAAATCCGTTTTATTCTGGATTAATGACGAGCGCGATAGGAGCTCAGCGAATGCTCCTCTAGAATAGCTAGTTCTTTTATCGTTATGTTTTCTAGAGATTAGCATTTTATTTGCATTGTATAGATTCTTTCGTTCTTATATTATTTTATGTAATAATTCATTTTTGTATATTTTATTATTCTTTTATTTAAACAATATATTCTCTTTCGAAGGTTTAAATAAAGACTCGTCAATGACTACACCTCTCCTCTACATCATAGTAAGAAATAGTTCCGAAATTAATCGAAACATAGATTGCGCTTCACGCCATCTACCGAGATTTAAAGTAACTAGTCAAAATAGGTACCCGAACTCCATCCGGCGAGCAAATCATTTGGCAATAAAAGTCAGATCACTACAATGTATTTTAAAATAGTTAACTCACAATTTATTAAACAATGTTTTTTTTTTTTTTGTATTTTATTTATTGTGAAACGTCTGCTATAATTGAGCGCGACGTTCGGAAGTTGTCGCTCTCATTATTAAGCAGAAGCTTAATAAACGTAAACATTTCTGGTTATTACATTGAATCGTTTTTAATTATCTACTTTGCAGTAAAAAATCATAAAAAAATTTTTGAAGGATGAAAAACCTCACTTTTTACACAAGATGTTTTTTACTACGCTAGTGTAATGAGCTTCTGCTCAATAACGAGAGCGACAACTTCCGAACGTCGCACGCAGCGTTAGCAGACGTTTCGTAGAAAATAAAATACAAAAGAGTAAACAAACATTGTCTAAAAAATTGTGAGTTAACTATTTTCAAATACACTATTTTTCTTGTGCGTCATTAAAGCTTACAAAAAAAGGAAAATTTTGATCTTTAAACCAATTTATTTGGTGTTGCAGAAAAAAGTGAATTTTTTTCATTATTTATTGTTATATTTTTTAAATAAACAATTGTTTTTACTTAAAAAGTGATTATTTTAGACCTTTATATTAACAAATATTATAAAAAAATGTTTCATTTAATTTAGAAAGGTTACTCCGAAATGTGCTAAAAAACTCATGGAATGGCACATATATATGAATATATATAATAATAATAATAATAATATAATGTTTTTCAAAAAATGAACAAATTGAGCATATACTGTGTTAACCTAATTTGCGTACGCTGAATTCAATGGAGATAGCCATTTTTTATGATCGAGTCAAATTTTCTAAATATTCGCCATTTTTTTCCGAATCAAAAAGCATAAAATTGACTTGAACCTTGTTATTTTGGGGTTTTTGAGGTCGCTGATTACGAATCCGGTGTCAGTTTTTCAGAATTCAAAATGGCGGACCCAATATGGCGGATTTTTTAAAATCCTTCGGATTCCATCGTTTCATAAAGCTCTCGTAAATATTTCAAAATATGTGAGCTGGTTTACTAAAAGGAACACTAGGTTCAAAAAAATAATGTTCTCTTTTTGGCGATTCTGATAAGAAAAACACGCTGTTAGGACTTCTTCAGTTAGTTTTAAGAATTTCAAATTTAATATATAGTAAATGATTTTCTTACAATACATCGAATTCACTTAAAACTCGTTACTTACCCAGTAGGAAAAAAACCACGTTCGTTCCAACAACGTTCATAAAACGTTTTTAGAATGTTTCATCTCTGCCAAAAAATGTTCTAGAACATTACTTTAACATCCATGTTCTTAAAATGTTTTAAAACATTTTTTGGCAAACATGAAACGTTCTAAAAATGTTCTTAAAACGTTTTTAAAATAAACATGGTTTTTTGCCTACTGGGTGGTAGTTTTTTGGGGTCGTTGACACCAGATTTGTAATTAGCGACCTTAAAAACTTCTGAGAAATGTGTTTTAAGTGAAATACGATAATTTTTAATAAATTTATCCGCCAGTTTGAATTTTGAAAAACTGACACCGGATTCGTAATCAGCGACCCCAAAAACCGTCGAGTAATAAGTATTAAGTCCATTTTATGCTTTTTGATTAGGGAAAATGTTGTATTTTGATAATGGTAAAAAACATTTTTAAAATGGCGATTATTTAGAAAATTTGATCTACATTTTACTTTCATTATCAAAAACAGAAAAATGCAAATTAATTCAAGAGTTGATAAAAATAAAAATCTTCGCTCAGAACCAAACTCTCAAGGTATGGAGACCGCAAAAATTTTTGAAACAAAATCCTACTCAGCATATAGCCGTGAGAATTGTGTCTCTTCACATTTTTCACATACATGAGTTAAGGATAGTCCTATAAGGATTATATTTGAAGACAGATATTGTTAAATTTTATCTTTTTATAATTAAGAAAATGGTATATAATGCAAATACTATAATAAATATTTAATATAAAATGAAATTACACATAAATATTTAGTTTACCTAATTAACAGGGATGTGTCTGGAAATGCTATTTTTGTTCTGTTCCGTTCCAGTGCCACGGAACAAAAATGGTTGTATATTCAGTTCTGTGCCAAGGCACGAAACGAAAATGGTTATATATTCAGTTCTGTGCTAAGGCACGGAACGAAAATAGTTGTATATTCAATTCCGTGCTGAGGCACGAAATGAAAATATGGAGGCATTTATTTTCGTGCTATAAGCACAGAATAGGTAAAATTAATTATTTGCGAATTAGGTTCTGTTTCAAATACGTAAACAATAATAAATGGGGACAGATTGTCGGGCCTGTTTACATTAAATGTCCTTGCACACAAGTATATCATCTCACAAATTTAAGAAAATATTACATATTATTCACTGAGAAAAAAAATTTAGTGTTTGCAACAAAATTGTTTGATTAGGCAATTTTGGTTCTCGTAACCAAATTTTGGTTGGCTGAAACAAAGTCGAAGAGTTATCTCAACCAAACATTTGGTTAGGTCAACAAAATTATTTGGTTGAACATTTTTAAATTCCAACCAAAATTCGGTTACGACAACAAAATAATTTGGTTAACACAACAAAATAGTTTGGTCTAAAAAACCAAATGATCGTTTGTTGTCCTAACCAATATTTGGTTGCGACAACCAAATAATTTGATTCGCTCTCAGCTCATAGCTTAAGAGAAAAGTTAGTTTAAATCTCTCACAAGGATGGATAGTCCAGTTGTCAGAGCTCCCGATCTTCAGTTTTATAACAGATGTTAGATCCCAGGCGGAGATGAGATTTTTCAAAGTCCACAAATATTTCAATTGGATAAATATAAATTTAATATTAAATTGATAATAAATAAATAATGTAATGAATAAAAAAATCGGACAAGTGCGAGTTACACTCGCACTGAAATCGAGGGTTCCGTACTCGAAGCGAACTTATTTGGTATAAAAACAAATGTTTAAAAAATATGTGTTGTATGACAACTAATATAAGTGATACAAAAAGGAACAATTTTGTAAAATTCAAGAAAATTGTTCCTTTTTGTATCACTTATATTAGTTGTCATACAACACATATTTTTTAAACATTTGTTTTTATACCAAATAAGTTCGCTTCGAGTACGGAACCCTCGATTTCAGTGCGAGTGTAACTCGCACTTGTCCGATTTTATTTTTTAAAAAATATTTTACTAAAAAAATATAAGAAACATAATTTTATTTCAACTCGCAATATTTTTATTGTATTTACATTTTAAAAATATATTGAATATTAAATTTTATCTTTCTAAGTCAAAAAGATGGTTCAAATTATATCGAACTGTGTAAAAAATTTGACTTTCTAACTTTATCTGAGAGACGTTTGATGAACCAGGCAATTTTCATTTTTAAAATCATAAATAATCAAATTAAGTCTTCAAGTCTGTTAGAGTGCATCAATTTTAGAGTTCCTCGATTGCAGTCACGCTATTATCAACCTTTCTCTTTACCAATGCCTGCGTCTTCTATTGGTTTTAATGCGCCAATACACAGTGGTTGCAATATCATTAATATTATGTGTCTTCGAGATGAGACTGATTTAGATCTATTTAATTTGTCGCTTTCATCCTTCAAAAGGATACTATTAAATTATATTAAATCAATAAGATAAAAGGAGCAACATTGTGCAATCTAGATATATTTAATTTTTTTTTGCGGTAAATGCTACAATATTATTTTTTTACTTGGTATACTTTAAATTTGCGTATAATGCCAGATAGCCAATATTTATATTTTATTTTTTATTCTATTTTTGTTTTTTTTTCTTTTTTATAACATTATATAATGATAGTATTTAATGTTATATTTTTCTTCGCAAAATTTGTTATTACAAGTATTTTATAAGTTTGTAAATCTTTTTGTAGTGCCCTTTGATGGTCTATGACCGTGGGCTTCTTTCTATGCAAATATAAAAAAAAAAAAAAAAAAAAAAAAAAAAAAAAAAAAAAGAGATAAAACTTAAGATATTGATATAAGGCTAGTAGCTGCTTGTCAAGGAAAAATCGAAAGTTATCTAAAAAATAAAATTTGTTTATTAATTCCAGAAAAATCAACTCCAATCATCCTCGCTATATTTTTTTTGTAATCTACACGTAAAAATACGTCAAAATATATAAATTTGAATCACTGTAGAAAAACTTTTTTCGTTTTTTGCGGAAAAATACATTTTTTTCTGAAATTTATCATTTTTCTTCAAAAATTTGATAAAAATTGATCATCAACTCCAATCGCGCTTACATTTTTTCCCTGTATTTTTCACGCAAAAATTGAGTTTTACAGCAAGTATGAACAGTCTGGATTGAATATTGTGTGCGCTAGGGAGAATAAATCATTTTTTTCGAAATTTTTGATTTTTCCTTGACAACGCTATGTAAATTAATCCGAATCAAGTTCGCTATAATTTTCCTGTAATTTTCACGTAAAAATACGTAAGTGTGTCAAATTTGAGCTCTTTATGTCAAAAGATGTGGCCGCTAGGGGGGGGGTACATACTCATTTTTAGGTATTTTTCGAAAAAATTCATGGTTTTTCCTTGACAACGCTATGATAATCAACTCCAATCATGCTCGCTATATTTTTTTTGTAATCTACACGTAAAAATACGTTAAAATATATAAATTTAATTTCCTTTAAATAAAATTTTGTTCGTTTTTGGTGGAAAAATACATTTTTTTCCTAAAATTGTCATTTTTTCTTGAAAAACTTGATAAAAAGTTAATTATCAACTCTAATCGTGACCGCTTTTTTTCCCCTGTATTTTTCCCGTAAAAATACATTTGTTTACTAAATATGATCTGTCTGGGTTGAATATTGTGTGCGCTAGGGAGAATAAATTATTTTTTTCGAAATTTTTGATTTTTCCTTGACAACGCTATGTAAATTGATCCGAATCAAGTTCGCTATAATTTTCCTGTAATTTTCACGTAAAAATACGTAAGTGTGTCAAATTTGAGCTCTTTATGTCAAAAGATGTGGCCGCTAGGGGGGGGGTACATAGTCATTTTTAGGCATTTTTCGTAAAAATTCATGGTTTTTCCTTGACAACGCTATGTTAATCAATTCCAATCAAGTTCGCTATAATTTTCCTGTAATCTACACGCGAAAATACATATGTGTACTAATTTTCAGCCCTCCAGATAAATTTATGTGGCCGCTAGGGGGGGGGTACACGATTTCAAAAAAACCGATATTAATAGGGTTCCGAACCGAGTACGGAACCCTAAAAAGATAAAAAGAAAAGAGATAAGGGTAGAATAACATTTTTAATTGTACAAAAAAAACTGTTTGTTTGATCAACCAAACATTTTTGTTTGATCAACCAAACATTTTTGTTGACCAACCAAAAAAATTTTGGTTGAGCTAACCAAACATTTTTGTTATGCCATCAAAAAACACTCAACCAAATTTTTTGGTTGACTCAAACAAATAGTTTAGTTGCTTAAATACAAACAAAATTTTTTTGTTGGCCCAACCAAATTTTGGTTGCTCTGACTAAACATTTTTTCAGTGTTTATTATATATTATATTTTATGTATTACATATTATATATTATATTCAAAGATTTCATAGGAATTGGAAATTTTATAAATAGTAAATAAAAAAAAAATTGTCGCATACAATAAAAATTGTTTATCAACGCGTTGACAGTTTAGATGTTAAATAAGATTTCTGAGAAATTCAATTAAAATAAAATAAATACGTATAAACTAAATATACAGGGTGTATCATAACCGGGTACTATCAAAAAAATATATAAATCATAAAATATTCTTTAACTTTTTACTCAATTATTATTCCCTAACAGCATCAGGATATTCAAGATATCCTATGGACATCCTAAAGATATCCGGTAATTAGGATATCCTACAGATATCCAAATTTCCGGATATCCCTAGAACGTCCATAGGATATCTTGAATATCCGGATACTGTTAGGGTTATATATCACTTACATTATAGAAAATAATTAATATTCAACATATTTAATCAAAATATTCATATTAATAATGAATAACAGTTTAAAAAATTATTCGGCATATTGGATCCGCCATTTTGAATTTTGAAAACTGATATCGGATTCGTAATCAGCGACCCCAATGATCACTAAGTAACGAGTTTCATGTAAATCTGATAATTTTTTTTAAAAAATCGTCTGACATATTGGATCCGCCATTTTGAATTTTTAAAAAACTGATATCGGATTCTTAATTAGCGACCGCAAAAACCCTTAAGGGTACAATGATCTGTAAACTTTGTTGAGTAGAAAAATATATAACTGATAGGGTTAATACAATATTCATTTATGATGTGAATATTAATTTATTGAAATTTATATAGTATTTTTATTTAATCTTAATAATGAAGTAAACTATAGAATTAGATGAACATTCATTTCTCGGAATTTATGAGATTGTAATGTTTACATAATGTTGAATAGAGTGTTTAGAATGAATAAAACGAAATCCGAGTCTATTTAGTAACGTGTCAGGACACGTAAATATATTACTATATATTTCTGTTTTTGAGCTTGGAACGAAATAAGATTTCGACTTATTTTTGTTTCGTTCCTCGGCACGAAATATAATTACCTCTTATTTTTGTTCCGTTCCTCGGCACGAAACATAATTACCTCTTATTTTGTATCGTGCCGGGACACAAAACAAATTCCTTAAGAAATTTAGTTTCATGCCTCTGGCACGGACGGAACAAAATTATAATTCATTTGAGTTCCGTTTCCGGAAACATCCCTGCTAATTAGCTATCTTCGTAGATGAAATTTTTTTTGAATGAGAAGAATTCTTTTTCATATTAATAAACTAACTTTATTGATAAAAAGAAATACTTTCTCATAGATTTTATTATTCTATGTAAATAAAAAATTATTAAGTTAGGATTATTCTTACCAACGATGTACTTCGCTGTTGAGCTTGCAATCCTAGATCTTCTTTTTCGTTACCGCAGTCTGTTGTGTAGAAAAGAACACTTTTTTTAGATTCTCTGAAAAATTTACAGAAAAACAGTGTTATAAATATTAATTGTTGTTTTGGTATGAATAAAAAATGTGTAGGGAAGACCGGGATTACTTGGCGCACTTTTCAATCTTTGTTGTTTAATTTACTCATTTTTTCTTTTTTTAAAACAGTTATTGTACAGAAAAATTGTTGTAACATCTCAGCTTTAATTTAAAAAAAAGAAAAGTTGCAATAAATTTTAATCTTTTCAGGAGTGAAATTAATTAAATTATATGATTTAAAGTTTAAACAATATAGTATTAACTCCCTATAAGCATAAAATAAACTCCCTTAGCATCAATTCCCTTTGCTTCAATTCCAAAAGGGTGTGACTTTCATATAGTTCCGTTAGGACTTGAATCCTAACTCCCTTTTTTTTTTACAGTGTATTGGATAATGCATTCAATTCTTTGTCAACCAACAATTAGACGCTTTATCCAAGTAAAAAAGTAAGTTTTTTACAATTATAGTAATTGTTCAGATCAACATTAACGTATGTTAAATTGTATTCTTAACGTAAATGAAACCTGAAATTATACCTGAGTGTTTGTCCATTTCGATGAAATGCATAAGTATCAATGAGCACGGGCGAATCTGTGTAGCACCGGCTCATATTCATCGCGACATTTGCATCTCCCTTCCCAATAGACCATTCCTTAGAATTGCATCTGAAATACAAAAAAATGCTTTTTATAATCAAAAACATGTATTACAATACTTTATAATATTTCTGTTTATTTATAGTCTATAGTTGATGACTAGTTAGAATAAGTAAAAAAATTTCCATTCAACAATTTATGACTATTTGCACGGAGAAAATTTACTAGATAAGTTTACAAAGAAAACTAACAATAAGTAAAAGTGGTACATTAGTGTCATTTCGATAAATTAAGAACAGCTCAAAAAGCAGAACCGCATGAAAATCTAGTAATTTAAGCGTCAAGTTTTACTGAACCGCGCACACTGAGAAAATGTTTTGTATAAAGTTTACTCAAAAAGTTGTGTAAAATGGCTACACATGCGCTTTTGAACAAAGTTTCACCAACTGTAGTTCAAAATAAATTTTTAGTAGGTGAAAATAAAATTGATGAATTTTTAAAATAAACTTCATAAAATTTCAGCAACACTTTGAAAAGAATATAAAACTATGAGTTAATTATCAAACCACATTTTAATAAAATGTAGTCTACAAATGTGGGAGAACGTATTCAACGCATTGCAGAGTTTCACCTTTTAAAGCTTAAATTTCAGTCAAGAGTTGGGTAAAATGTGAACTTTAAATGTGAATGAGTCAGAAAAAATACTATTGGTGGAGAGATACGGGCAAAAAATCATTCTTACTTATTAACAGTTGGTTCTAGCTTTGATTCCTGTATTATCTACACTATGAAAACTGTCAAAAAAATTATTTTTAATTGTCGATGGTTGATTTTCATACTTAGCACGAATTTCTGCAGTACATACACATTTTTACATACACATTACCGCTTTTTCAATCACACACCTTATAATACCCACAATACATATAACCTAACCTAACACACATACAACGCAATACTAATTTCGCTTGCAGTTACATTGAACGGAATGATTTGAACTGTCCTTATATGAGGCAAAATTCCTGAAATGTCCGAACAAAAAATTGAAAGTTCTCGAATTTAATCCATACTTTTCTAAAGTGTTGTTATTGTTGGTGAAAGTCTAAAAATCAATTATTATTGAATTTAATAAAATAGTTTTTGAATTACAACGTTTTTAATTTTTGACTTTTGAAAAAAAAAATTTTTTTCAATGTACAATATTTATAAGTAGAATGCATAAAAGTTAACATATATATAATGATTTTTAAAGGTTTTTTGACGAGCTACACGCTATTAATAAAATTTTTTTTTTTTAAATAACATTTGACCTTGAAATTCAAGGTCAAATTGTTAATTTACGTTTATCTCAAAATCGGATTTTTTAAAATTATTTTTAACTATCTCAATGGAAAGCTTGACTAATTTCCTACAAAACATGTAATTTTCAGAGTGGGATCTTTTAAAGTTTTTGAGATATTAATTAATTAATTAATTAATGTTTATAACAAATGAAATATTTTACAAACGAATAAAGTTACCGTAATTCTGAAGTTAGTAATTGAAAGTTAACGTAATTCCGCATCTAACGAGCCCTATATGAAGTATTTTGAATAAGTAGATTGTTAATAAACAATTAGTTAACATTGCAATTGTTTATTAACAATATACTTATCCAAAATACTTCATATAGGGCTCGTTGGATGCGGAATTAGCTTAACTTTCAATTGGTTAAATTAGATTTACGATAACTTTATTTGTTTGTAAGATATTTTATTTTTTATTGTTATTTAACTAAAATTGAACAAAAATACTTCATATAGGGCTTTTGGATGCTTGTTGTTAGTAAAAAATAAAATATCTTACAAACAAATAAAGTTATCGTAAATCTAAATTAACCAATTGAAAGTTAAGCTAATTCCGCATCCAACGAGCCCTATATGAAGTATTTTAGATAAGTATATTGTTAATAAACAATTGCAATGTTAACTAATTGTTTATTAACAATCTACTTATTCAAAATACTTCATATAGGGCTCGTTGGATGCGGAATTACGTTAACTTTCAATTACTAACTTCAGAATTACGGTAACTTTATTCGTTTGTAAAATATTTCATTTGTTATAAACATTAATTAATTAATTAATTAATATCTCAAAAACTTTAAAAGATCCCACTCTGAAAATTACATGTTTTGTAGGAAATTAGTCAAGCTTTCCATTGAGATAGTTAAAAATAATTTTAAAAAATCCGATTTTGAGATAAACGTAAATTAACAATTTGACCTTGAATTTCAAGGTCAAATGTTATTTAAAAAAAAAAAATTTTATTAACAGCGTGTAGCTCGTCAAAAAACCTTTAAAAATCATTATATATATGTTAACTTTTATGCATTCTACTTATAAATATTGTACATTGAAAAAATTTTTTTTTTTCAAAAGTCAAAAATTAAAAACGTTGTAATTCAAAAACTATTTTATTAAATTCAATAATAATTGATTTTTAGACTTTCACCAACAATAACAACACTTTAGAAAAGTATGGATTAAATTCGAGAACTTTCAATTTTTTGTTCGGACATTTCAGGAATTTTGCCTCATATATCAAGTGGCAGAAAAACTTACAACTTGTGAGAAACGCTTGTAAAGTGAATAAATGATTTATTTTACTTTTATAATTATATTATTGACTCTTAATAGAATAAAATATATTGCGGTCAATTAATTATGGTTTAGAAAAAACAGTATAAAAATAAAGTTAAAAATTATTTAGCAGAAGAAATAGTAATTTGTTTTATATTGTAGTCTGGTTATGACCGTCTTCTTGTATAGTTCTGGTTGTGTTTAAATGTGAGGTTTCCTCACTTTTGTTTAGTTTCAAATTTTTGTGTCTCAAATTAAATTTGTTCTTAAACTTTGTGTCTGAATATTTATTTATGATTAAATGTGTTGAATGTGTTCAGATGTTCGAATATTTTATTCAGTATACTAAATAAGTGAACCATATACATATACAATTTCGGAGCGAGTTGTTGGCGGCATCTTCGTCAATCAGCTGTTTGATTTATCTGGCCGGTGTTTTGCGCGTGTTGCTGTATTCTGCTGGAGGCACCTGAATTTAAATTTGAACCTGCAAGTGGCTGGAGATTGTCATTTTGTACACCGATTTTATTAATTGAAGTTGATAAAGTTATAAAGGTTTAATTTTACTTATTATAAAATTTTGATATATTTTTGAATTTGTGGTTGGTGAAGTTTTCAAGTTTTCAGTTACACTAGAGTCTCCGAAGAGAGGACAGAAAGAGTCTTGGACCTCTCTACGGAATTCGTCCTTGACGCCGAAAATTGTAAACACTCCAGGGCCGTATATCGTATCACAGAGATGTGTTTTTTTTAACAGAATACATTCTGTTACGTATGTAAAACACTACGCGAGAAAGGTACACTAAAAACAAACGCTCCTGAGTTCACGTTCCTCTTTCTGATCCCGCCCATCTCTTCCCCCCTCACTCCTTACCGCGCCGCGTCACTACTTAGTCCTCTCTTCAGAAGTCCTCTCTTGGGAGACTCCAGTGTATTGTGATTATTATTTTATTTTATACATTTTTAATTTACTTGACTTCTCCGCTAACTATTGATTAATTTTCAATTATTATTACTCCAAGCTCACTCATAGCTTCAATTTTTATTTTTCTTATTATTTAAATTTTTGATACCTTGTTTAAGTCATCCCACACATACATTTTAAATTGCAGCCCATTATTTAAAAATTTTTTATTTTACACTACCACTACAACATTTCGCCCAAAGGGATTAAAGCCTTTTTTTATAATTTGTTTACATGTACACATACAAGACCTTATATTTTAATGTGTATTCAGACGTTTTAATTACATAACCTGCTTATTTGTTTATATTTATTTGCTTTATTGCTATTTGTTTTATTTTGTTTATATCTGTTTATTTTATTTGTTTTTAGTCTTTTGACATATTTATTTATACTTTTATTTAATTTATTATTGTGTTCATTATTAGCTTAATTTTTGTTTATTCTGCTTTTACTTTATAAGTTCTCACTCAGTAGGTGATTTTTGTTTTTGTGTTACTTTTTACTATTGAGTGAGAATTTGGGCCCTCATTTGGTGTCGCTTTGTTCTTCTGGGTTCGGGTTTGATAAATCTTTTTTAAATCCAGATATGGCTCTGTTACATCCCGATATAATTTTGCAATTTAATTACTTGATTGAATGCCCCTAATGGTATGTTTCCATGTCATTGCATATGTACTTTTATAATTACTATTTAAAGAACATTCTACATTATTAAAATTATAATAAAAAATAAGTGCGTTTGTTTATTATTTTGTTAATTAAACGATATAAAAGTCTAATATTTTATATAATAATCGATTGTAGTTACATATTATACACATCCCTGTGGGCAAAAAACCATGTTCGTTCTAAAAACATTTTAAGGACGTTCTTAGAACGTTTCATGTCCGCCAAATAATGTTCTGGAACATTTTAAGAACATGGATGTTCAAATAATGTTCCAGAACATTATTTGGTGGACATGAAACGTTCTAGTTTTTAGAACGAACATGGTTTTTTGCCCACAGGGATACATCAATAAAATTCTAAAACAATAGAGTAAATGATTGTACACCAATAAATGATGTGCATGTATATGTATGTATATATATGTATATGTATGTCTATGTGTATGTGTGTGTATGTGTATATCAGGCCTGATAGATATATAGTCAATTCCCACACAGCACAGTATATTGCTGTAAGCTTACCTCAAGCTTACATGTAATTTTTGTAAGCTAACCCTGTAAGCTTCAGGTAAGGTCGAGGTAATATAAAAATGTCCGCCATAGAGTAAGCTTACACAGTAAGGTCATAGTAAACTTACGTGGCAAAGTCACTGTAAGGTTACAGTAAGCTTACACGGCAAGTTTTCAAAGGTATCAATAAATAATTTTTTAAAAATATTTATGCGCAGTAGCTTTCTATGGCACTTACGAATGCGCAATAAATTTTTTTAAGCAAACCCTACCGGGGTTATTTATATAAATGACAAAATAAAT